GTTGATTGTGGAGATGAGAAACATCAATGTTGCAAGTCAGCAGTAGAAGAACCATGTTGTTGGTGTCCAATCAGAGGTGAGATGTCCAAATATCAGGAAATAAAGACTCCAAATCTGGTCGTCTGAAGCTCAACTATGATGTGGCTCACTTCTAGTTCCTGAAACAAATGTGCTTTTCGCCCCAGAGTATGACTTACAAGGCATTCATTCCTACTAGAGAACACTGCAAATGTAATGATCAAACGATTGTTCCACACCTTTAAAATCTAAGACCCCAGGAAGAGAGTACAATGAAGATTTCCTGTTTCCTCCCCATTCATCCGCTTCAAATGTTTGATAATTGCTGACCGACGCACTTAAATCTGCTTTTTAAACACATTTAATAAAGTGTTAGAGAAAAGCTCTGAAGCAGCTGTGACTGTTAAACCCTCCAATAAAAACATTCAGCAGGAACGATACGACTTTAGTTAAAAAGGCAAAAATATAATAAAGAAAGATGAAGAAAACATCCAACATGATGCAGATTTCTGAGTAAAGATAAAAAGAGGAAGGGTTGTGTCCGATCCCCAGTAAAACTCAATAAGAAGTGGTTACGAAAGCAAACCGTTTAAACTGAAAACCCACACAAATAAAAGCAAGTAGATATTCTAGAAATGTTGTGCTTAATTTAGTTTTTTATGTTGCACTTAGTGACTAAACTGCACAAGAACGAACACTGAGTTTAAAATGTTTAATATGAACAAGAAAAAAAGGGTGCAAATGCTGCTATTTAACATACCGTAATTTCCGGACAATAGAGCGCACCTCAATATAAGTCGCACCTACTAAGTTTTTAAAAACACATGGAACTGTACTTATATGAGCCGCACCGGGCTAAAAGCTACAGATATCTACCGGATATCTACTGAACTGAAAACGTAGTTTAACTGAATGTAACTGAGCTGATCAGTATCAAACAAAACAGAAAAGTTATTGATTAGTTTATTCATTGTCCTCTTGCGCACTAAAGCCATTAAAGTCCTCTTCTTCAGTGTCGGACAGCCTCAGAAGAGCTTCGTCACATACCTTTTCTGTGGCGATGTCAGTGTCGCTGTCCGTGTTGCTGTCATCATCCCCAGGTGAAGCTGGCTTGAATGAGTTCTTCCCGCTGCCGTCTCCAGCGCCGAACCATGGATTCATTCATGCCAAGCTTACGTGCGGCAGCACGGTTTCCCTACTTTACTGCCAGATCGATGGCCTTCAACTTAAATGCGGCAACATATGAACTCATACGTGTAGTTACCATGATGGGGGGGTATGGACTTGAAAAAAATTCGTCGTCATGCCGGCTGCTTGCATGTGCTAAATTTAAATGAGCACTTTCTTCCATTTCCACTTTTGACTTCCACCTGTTTCACTTTCTGCTAAAGCGCCCCCTGGCAGGTGAAGGAAGATCTTCAGTAAAGCCGCACCTCATTATAAGCCGCATGGTTCAAAGCGTGGGGAAAAAGTAGTGGCTTATAGTCCGGAAAATACGGTAAATGTTGTAAAAATCTTTGTAGACAAACTTTTATGATATAAAAGCAGGGCGACGAGAATCTGTACCAAAAGAAATGTTAAAGCTGCTGCCAGTGGCTCATTAGGGTCACCACATTAATAACCGATGTCCCATTAAGGTCTCCATGGTAACCACCAATGACCCATTAAAGTGACAGTATGTATTTTCCCTGGCGATAGGGGGCAGTGCATACCAAATCATTGCAAGCAGGCTGTATCTTTGTGTTTGAGTAAGACCTTACCAACGGATGGCTATTAGGGTCAAAAGTCCCGGGGAGCGCAATTTTCAAACAAGTACTTTGTCAGATCGTTCAACCTCCAGCCAAATGACAAGCACATCAGACTTCCTTTCATCACTGGCAACAAATGAAGAGGCAAATGTGTGAAACATTTAGAAATGGTGAAAGTTTTGTAACCCTTTGTTACAAATCAGTAAATGCACTTTGTCCTCATGGGCTACCGTGGACGGAAACATTGCTTCTAATATGGCTAGGGGTGGGAATTGAAAACCGGTTCTTTTTGAGAACCGGCTCCCATTGTTTCAATTCCTAGGAATCGTTTGCCGGTTTTGCAAACGATTCCCCTCATCAAATCCAGCCAGCGCTAGTGACATCACCGCGCACGTTGCATAGCTTACGGAAGCAGGAAACATGGCGTGTAAGCGGCACAAAAGCTCGAAAGATTGGTTATACTTTACAAGAAAGGATGATAACAGAGTAACTTGCAATAATTGCAAAGTGGATTATTTCTTCAAGGGAGTTGCGTGACATCATCAAATGTCGGTATAAAATTTTTCTAAAAAATTACCCAACTCAAGCTGGGATTGCGTAAAAACCACCAAAGATGTCAAAACACCAGTTCAGCCATGTAAAGTCCTACTTCCTGTGACTATTTAAACTCTGAATGGTATTTCTACTGTGAAGTCTACCTGACTTACAGCGCTCCAAAAGGGGCGGGGCTCTAGGAATGTTTAAATTGAATTCTAATTGGGTCAAAACAGAGTTTAAATATTCACATCACATGTTGCCGTCACTCTTTCTTGGCTGTTACTTCATGTTGGGACACATTTAAAAACGAGCTTACCCCAAAAAGTTGACAAACACCGACTGGCAACATCTGGGTTAAATGACAAGGCAGTCACTTCTAGACTAAATTTAAGACGTGGTGTTGATATTCTAACGTTTAATTAGGACTTCAGCTTTCAAGAGACACAAACCTAATAACAGAACAAGCTGTTGTGAGACTTTTTACTGTCTGAACACAGGAGAACTTTATAGATCCTTTAAATTTCTGAAGATTTTATGAGTCTTTTAGCACAACAAGCTGTTTTATGCGGCAGCTACGGCGAGTAAATACCCCAGGCGAGGTGACGCAACAGATCCAGCTACTTCTCACACACGAAAGACTAAATAAATTTAGCACACCTAAACATCTGCTCAAGTTTCACCCGATCTTTATTGACAAAACACGCACAACTGTAGTTCAGGTACGGCTAAAAAAAAAGGGTTTCACCTTCAGACTCTGGTTTTGAATGTCAGCATTGTTGGACTAACAGATCATCAGATTATTCAGTAACCTGTCTTTGTGCACAGCAAACGCTCGTTACAGTGGCACAAGTCATAAAGTCAAAGTAGAAGTATTTTGTTTGATTTGAGCTGCATTCAGGGAGGATACTACGTCTAAGAAGAACATGTTAATTAGCTTTATTTTTAAGGTATTTGTGGAACATTTTTAGTATCCTTTAATATGGGCAATTGTTGCTGTTGTGCATTAAAGATTTGTACATTTTCAAAATAAAACCTTAAAGGCTGGATATACGAGTCAATAAATACATATCTTGTGCTCTTAATTTTTGCATTTTAACCTAACGGGGGAGGTGTTTCGGGCATGTCCTGCCGGCAGGAGGCCCCCGGGTCGACCCAGGACACGTTGGAGAGGTTACATCTCCAATCTGGTCCGGGAACGCCTTGGGGTCCTGCTGGAGGAGCTGGTGGACAAGGCCGGGGAGAGGACGGTCTGGAGCTCCCTAGTTGGGATGCTGCCCCTGCGACCCAGACCCGGATAAGTGGAGGAAGACGACGACGACGGCGTTAATTTTTTATTACTTTTTATAAGTATAGTAGTTCTAAATTGTTTTGGACTGCTTCTGATGTTTTACTTTTTACAGTGGTTCTTGTTTTTATTGTCGTTTTTACTGTTTCTTTCCATATTAAATGTTTGGTCACCTTCTGGGTTGTGTAAAGCGCTATATAAATAAACATTGATTGATTGATATCAGTTTACGCTTAACATAAAATTCTATGGTTCGTTACAATTTATTTATTTTCTTTAAAAAAATTCCCTTCATGCATCCAATGAAATTTCCATTAGATATAACATTAACAGCAATGCAAATATTGACAAAATAATGTTATCAATTTACTTTGGTCTTGGTTATGTTCAAACTAGCCGTTAGCCTATCAGTTCTGAAGAATGTAAACACTGTTTCCCCAAGCTGAGGATATCTAATCTAACTAACATGGATGTTTACGCCGCAAGTCCAGCCTGGGAGGTATTCACCCTCCTTCCCTCGGGCAGCAGTTTGAGCAGCTTCACAGGCCAAAACAAGCCCGGGGAAGGGCTTTTTCTCCAGTGCTGCAAGGTTCATGACCTTTGACCCTTTTCTGTGTAATCTGAATCTGCAGTGAGATTCTTAAAAATATCCCAATGCAACTTCCTCTTTTAGGAACACAAACACACATTTGGAAATGTTTATTCATTATTATGAAAATAATGCAATAAATAAAATATTTACAACAGAAATACGATATTTACCAAAAGTCCTTTTTTAGTCTTGATGCTTATTTTGTCTTAAATGAATTATAAACTCACAGATATTTTAAATGTTATAATTAGACAAATCAGACAATTATGTAGTAAAAACATCTTTTTTCCAGATTAATTGATTTAATTGAATAAATGATGCAGTTTTATAGTCGATATTTTATAAGACATAAATACAAATATTTGTTCAATTTTTTAATGAAGTACACAGATGTTATAAAGTTTTGTGATTTTCCAAGAATACATTTTTAAAAATTTATTTTTCATTACTGCAGATTAATTTATATTATGCATATGTTTATTGAATATTTAGCACTTTGATTTTTTTTTAGGTTAAAGAGGCTAAATGGGTTTAAATGAGGTGTATTTTTGTATTTTTGCAGCTTTGGCCTGCAGTGACCAAAATGAAGCGTCATACGTCATTTCCTTTAACTTAAGTATCACAGGCCAAAGGGCCGCAGCGATAACCCCAACACACCCGACAGCTATAAATTTGTTGTTTGTTTTCTGTCTCGTTTTAACGAGGATTAGAGCTGCCGGTCCGCCTGAAATAAGCAGATTACAGCGCAGGCTCCGGAGTTTTCAGACTCAGACAAACTTTCCCTGACATAACCGCAGAGTTCAAACATGAAGACACTCACCCCTCGTCTCCCCTGCAGCTTTGCTGCCCTCTTCATCCCGGCTGACTTGTGTGATTATTGAGGATGGATTGTCCATCACATCCAGGTCTGGTCCAAAGTGCTAAGGCTCGCACTCTAAAGTTAGAGATCGCTCGCCGACTCGGAGCTGCTGCATGAACTTTAACGACAAAACAAAAATGAAAGGCGCCGGAAAACACCGCGACGAGTCGGCTACAGCGCGTCCATAACAAGTCCGGTGTCTTTGTCCGCTCGGGAAGCCGCTAACTTTAGGAGTCCGAAAGTTTTCAAACATTTGTCAAGGAGTTAGCAACTTTGATTCAATATGGTGCTCAACTCCGCTCGCAGTTTCAAGATACAAACATGGAGGTTTCAAGGCTTCCCCTTTCACTTAAAGTGGCGCAGTGAGGGAACGGCCGTGAACGACACCCCGCCTCGACGTGGCTACAAATTTGACCACGGTCCCTTACGGAAGTCTGAACAAAAGTTGCTTTTAAAAGTTACTCCGCGGTAAATTTAGCCAAAGATCCTGAAGTAAAACCACAAAATGACACACGACCCGCCACATACTGTAGTATCGAGATAAATATTGCGACCAAAACAACGATTTGTCTCGTTTCATGACGACTACGTAAATGAATACGGGAACACTGCGGAGGGAACTCTCACAAAGCCGAGTGATGTTTATGTTTTCGCTTATAAACGTAGTTTGATCGAAAGTGAGTGTGTGTGGGTCACTGCTGGCGTCGCGTAACGACCGCTGCGGGTAAAAACAAACTCGACGGCAAAACTTTTTTACTTTTTTCCCTTTGAAGTGGCAGAAGTAAAGAAACGCCCAGTTTGGGCTCCTTGAAACTGTCTGACCAGGTTTTAGGGAGCGTGGTGCAAAAGTACACCATGTTCTTAATCCACTTCAACTCACTTTAACATCAACTTGGTTTGTTCAGGGAGTTCAACTGACATTTTTGTCAAGGGAAAATGTACTGTGTACTTTACAAGGTAAATATGTTTCTGCCTTATTTCACATTAAGGGCTGCACAGTGGTTAGCACTGTTACCTCGCAGCAAGGAGGTCCTGGGTTCACATCCAGGCCTGGGGTCTTTCTGCAAGGAGTTTACATGTTCTACCTGTAAGTGCGGGTTCTCTCAGGGTATACTCTGGCTTCCGCCACAGTCCAAAAACATGACTTTCAGGTTAATTGGCTTCTCTAAATTGTCCTTAGGGGTGGGTGTGTGTGTGTGTTCTTGTACATACTACATACTGAGGAACATTTTGATCAATTTCCCTACAATGTGAGGACATTTTTTAAAGTGAAGACATTTTTCTGGTCCTCACTTTTTTAGAAGCTTGCCAGAAGCTTACTATAGCAGTTAGAGCTATAGTGTGAATTTAGTTTTAGTTAAGGTTAGGGTTAGATCAGCATTGGTTAGGGTTGGGGTATGGGTTAGGCATAGTGGAATCACAAAAATAAATGGAAGTCAATGGAGGGTCCTCACCATGAAGAAAGACAGATGTGTGTGTGTGTGTGTGTGTGTGTGTGTGTGTGTGTGTGTGTGTGTGTTACCCTGCGATGGACGTGCAACCTGTCCAGGGTGTACCCCACCAGTTTGCCCGAACCTGACAAGCCGTATGGACAATGGATGGATTTCACAATAAAAGGCCTACCTTTACTCAACCACTTTTGTTCCAACTTAGATGACAGATTTAATTTAATTTTGTGCAATGTGATTTTTTTTTTCTTTACTAAACTAATTATAGGTAGAATGTGGAGCTATTTAAAAAGCTATATTATAAAAAATACCTCCACGGGGTGTTCAGAAGTGTGAAGAATGAAGGTACAGTATTTCCTTTAAAAGCTATATTTGAATTTTAAAATAATCAAATATTTATTTGATGGGCATGACACTGGATTTTTGTTTACATCTACCAGCCAACAGAGGGCACCATTGCAGGTTGCCAAATACAGTAAACATTCATCTCGGCATAGCAAGTCTTGCACTGTGGAAAATGGTGGGCCCTGCAAGTTAAGCTGCGTTTGAGCCTGGAAGATGTTGATAATAGAAAGGCTACCATTAAATACTGTTGTAAAAAATGATTAGTAGAAGTGAGTCCTTACCTGGTATGATCTGTCAATGGACATGGTGCTGGCTGGTCATTTCATGTATTAGCAGCTAACCTGGTACCCCGACAGCTGGAAACCTTGTTCTATTGTTGCAACTACAACCTCCACACACTAGATGTCACTATGGTGTTCATGTTCCATATTCAACTTTTAAGTCACAAATATTACTCATTTCATTGTTGTCCCTCAAAAATCCAATTTATTGGTTTATTTTGGGTCTTACATTGGGTTTGGTCACTTTACATCAATGTTAAACAGACATTTTGTTGCTGTTTCTTTAGAGTTTTGATTACATTAGTTTTTCCTTGTGTGAAATTGAAATGTTTACTCATCTGAGCATTTGTAGCTTGTAATAAAATCATAGAAATAGTTCATTTGCAAAAACAGAAACCTCAGTTTTTATAAAAACATTTTCAAAAAGCATCTTTTTATTACTTACTTCAGGTGACATCAGTCAAAATAAAGTTTGGTGACTTCAATCTGCTTTTGCAAATTAACTCCTCATACTTATTTTTTAAAATTTTTTTACAAGAATGGCAACAAGGCCTCAATACTTAAGTTTTTAAATAGTTTCAATAAATCCCATCCAGTCAACTGAAGACAACATGTTTGAAACATGTTACTATTCCCAAAGGTATCAATAGTTTATTACATACCATCTCATGAAAGCATGTTCATCTTTTCTCACATATAAACACAGCAAATTGGTACATTTGCAAATCGTCAACCATCCAAATTCATACAAAAGGAACACTGTGAAGGGGTAATACAGAAGACACTCTCATTTTACAAAGACCCCATGTTGGTTTATGTGTGAATCATCAAGACTTTACTTCAGAGACACAAATGTCAGATTATAATCCGAGGCACTAACTGGATGATGGTGATTAGAGCAACCAGACCAACCGATGTGTAAAACTGACAAACCACAGCAAATCTACATTACAAACTGCTTCTCTTACTTCTATTAGTCAGGCTTGATCACAGAACAAGACAAAGTCCTATCCAAAAAATCTGACTCCACATCAGTTACAAACATGTTCTTATTTCATTTATTTTCTCCCTATTAATTTCAAAAGTGAGCCAAAACGTTTGGGCACACACACACACACACACACACACACACACACACACACACACACACACACACACACACACGCAAATAAATTAACATGAAAAAAGTAAACATTTCTCAAGGAAAATAATACAATATTTGGTGATAAATTGGGCTAAATGCAGAAGAAAATTAGCAGCTTTAAACAATAACAAATGTATCTGATTCAAACAGAAATGCACCAATATTTGCTTTGGTGGACTTGCCAATACTGAGTACTGATATGGGTGCAAATAAACGTCATTACACTTCTTAGATGTTTCTTGCTGTTAGCAAATGTAGCATCATGTAGATCTTTTTCACTTTTGTCACCATTATTCGTTTAAAATACCTCAATGGCGTAGCCTAGAGAACTTGACCAAATTCTATATATTCACATACAAAGGATGGCTTGCCAGGCTGTCAGTGGTGCCTTCGCCCTTCCTCTTTTGCTAATCGACTGCAAAATTTGCAGAAATAGTGACTTTGTTGCTATCTTTAGCCTCTCTAGTGGCTCCTTTTCAAAGTAGAAACTAAATCCAGAGACCTTTTCTTGGAATTTTGGAAATTCTGACTTAAAAGCGCACATCGTTACTCATCCCAAAGCACTCACAGGCTGCCCAATTCTCCTACAGCATCCAGGCACCATAACGCGTCACCTCGCTTCTTCTCCACCTGAAAAGGTGAACGTCATGCTGCTGGTACTGCTCTGCTGAAACATTTTTATGAACAGACATGGTATCGGAGAGATCACCGACTCTTGTGTCAGTGCTTCTAGTCGTGCATATTTATACAAACCAAATACAAATGTAGATTTTCAAAACAAATAATGTGTCAGAGAGACTGTGCAATCAGTTTCAGTTGTTTGGAGAAGTTCCTGAACTTTACAGACTTAAAGAAACACCAGTGTGGTTTGTGTTTTAGATTCCTTCTCAGAATCCGGTTATGTTAGCCCAGCAGATGTGTCCAGATCTGGTTCACAGACGTGGTTTCTAAGTGTTTTCGCCATCGTCTCACTTTAGGGCAGGAACCTGCGGTGCTGTCCCGGATGAAGGAGACTGAGGCGAGCCCTGGTAGGTGCGCAGGAGCACCTTGTGCTTGGTGGCACTCTCCGTGCGGCGGCTCTGTTGCTCCACCAGGAATTCTTTGATCTGGCTGGAGGTGAAAGTGAGAGTCTGTCTCCTGAGCTTCATCAGGTACGAGTCTTGCAGCCAGGCCTGCGTGAAGCAGTCACGCGTAGTGGGACGGGCCCTGAAAGCAAATAAATACACACAGTATTTATAAAAGAGCTTTTAATACATTTTTCTGTTTGTTTATGTCGGGTACTTTAACAATCACCAAGGGTAACTGCTCAACATCTTCTTGAGAAAGGTTGAGGCACTTTGGGAAACATTTGGGTAAAGTTTAGTTGGGTCCATCTTGGCCATCAGGACTTTAGACTCAACCTGTTGAGGGTTTTTGTCTTCAAAGGGCAGTCGGCCACTAAGCCTGGATGGAAACATAAACACCAATTTATTAACCACCATAAAATAATGCATAAGTGCTCCAGGAATGAAGTGAAACTTACATGATGTACGTAACAACTCCAACAGTCCAGATATCAGCTGGAGGACCAACAACGTCACCTTTTACCATCTCAGGAGCTTGTCAAAAAGAAACATCAAAGGTTATTGTACCCTTTTTTTCTACTAAATGTGCTGTGGTGCTCCATAAATAAGTAAATGGTGCTTTAATTTCTGGGTTTAATTCTCACCCATGTACTCCAGTGTTCCCGACACAGAGTTCTGGGGCTTCAGGTTGAGGGGGTTAAAGCTCTGGGCGCTGCCGAAGTCCACAATCTTAACGGCATTGAGGTTAGTCACCATGATGTTATCGGGCTTCAGGTCTAAGTGGAGGATGCGGTGGTTGTGGAGGTACTCGACAGCCTGAAGAATCTGAACCAAATAGCCAACCACGTCATCCTCGGAGTAGCGGAACCTGAAGTGATTTAAGAAAAGAAAGGGCACGCTTTGAGTCTTTTTAGGCCGATGCATCTCAGTGTGAAGGCACACGTCCATCCTCCTACCTGTCTGTGAGACTGTACAGCAGCTCTTTGCCTGTGCAGTACTCTGCCACCAGAACCAGGTAGCGGGGGGTGACATAGGCCTCATGCAAGGCCATGATCTTTTCATTATGAAGGGACTTAAGGATTTCATACTCCTTCAGCATGTCCTGCTTGGTGTCCAAACTATAGGGAATGATTTTTGCCATGTAGAGTTTCCCAGTTGCGTTCTCCCTGCATTCACGAATGACCCCAAAACGACCCCTGAAAAAAGGAAAAATAACAGGTTTGCTCTTCAAACAAATAAGCAGATACAACGGAACAAAAGGGCAAGTGGACCTCTTTATTTTCTTGAATAAAAATGCAGAGAAATTAAAAGTGACATATCATGTCTCACCTGGCTTTTTCATCCAAGAAAGTGTATGGCTTTTGTGGAACCCCCTGTCGTAGTGCAGTGGTTGGTGTGGTGCGCCCTGATGGAGTTCCTCTGGTGGGTGTACTCGGCCTCTCTCCCATGGGGCTCAGGCTGGAGCTCTGGAGCACTTGCGGGGAGGACAACGGAGTCGGAGCAACACGAGCTGTGGCGGTAGTCGTGGGAACATAGGTGGGCACCGAGGTCACAGAGGGTTTCATTGGGGTGGAGGGTTGAGTCACAAAAGGAGGTGGTGATACGGGTGGGGTCTGGGTCATTGGGGTCACCACGTTGACTGGACTTTGGGGTTTGGGGACATCAAATGATGGGAGGGGTTTCATTTGAGGGGCTGAAGGAAGGGTGGTGCAAGTTTTTCGAGTGTCTTCCGAAGATGATTGTATTTCTGGGGTTGGAGAAGTTGGAGGGGGTGTGGTCACGACTGCTTTGGATGCAGTTTCTGAAGGAGCTGGAGAAGAGGAGGTGGATGTGATGCTGGAGTCTGTTCGGTCATCTGGTTTGATCTGAGGGACTTTCACCAGCTCAGGAGGGGCTGGGACTGTCTTCACTACAGCAACAGGAGGGAAAGCTCCTCCAGCTGTTGGATAAATAGATAGAAAAATGATTGAAGGCATGTATAGATTGTCCAATTCCCTCTCACTCTCCATGGGTTTTGTTGCCTTGCTGTTCTTCTGTAATTAATCATTTTAAATTCCTAATTCATTAAAACTTAGACAGACTAATGACCTCCAAATTCATATTAGCTCTGTAGATTTATGATTGTTTTACTTCTACAACTTTATGTTATCATAGCTGTTGAGAATCATTTTGTGGCATTCACTCTCATTTCCAATATTCTTCATTTTATTATTTTTTTCTAGTTTTCTACTCAGTATAATCTTTCTATCATCAAAAAGTTTAAAACTAAAGGTCTCTTTATCACTCGAATGTAGTTTTGTGTTCTTGGGGTAATTTGGGGTGTTTTTGTGATTGTTGGACTTATTTAGATCACTTTTTTAGTATTTTTATTCACTTCTATTTGTCATTTAAATAGTTTTATATTTCATTTTGATACTGTGATTGAATCACATGCTATGTTTATAAGTTAGCTTTATATTATTTAGGTGTTTTATGTTTGTGTAGTGTTTTATGGTCATTTTCAACACATTTTAAGTAGCTTTCTGGAATTTTCTCCTTTCAGAAAGTATGTATGACTTTTCAGAAGTTCGTAAAAGTGATCCTCTCATCAAGTACTGTGATATAACGGAGCTCCGTGCAATAGGAAACTGAGCGCCGACCAGAATTAACCAATAGTTAGACTACCGCTTAAATGCTTCAAATTTAAGGAAGTACCTTGGCTGATACGGAGTTGATGAACTTTTCACAGACAAGGAAGTCTTTTAAATATAAATATATGAAAACACAACATGACATGAGAATAATATGTGTAAAACAATGGGTTTTAGCTCTGTTTGTCGGCTACAGAAGCACGTTTATAAACAAGAAACACGAAGTCGCCATCTTAAAAAAACGGATCCACGGACTATTTGTGTGATATGCTTGTCAGCCACTAGATGGTGCCATCGAATAAGAGAAATACCCTGTCTCTGTTTTAACATTTCACACATTTTTCTTGTAATTTATTTGACCAGTATTGGATATTTTTTACACCTTTGGTAGTTTTTTGTTAGTTGTGTCTAATTTCAGTCATTTTTGCATCATTTAATATCACTTCTATGAGGTCATATCATTAGTTTTGGTACTTTTTGTTGCTTTGTTTTCTAATAAATAGCATCATTAACCTGTAGAGTCCAGGCTGACTGGAGCAGAGCAGCTGCTGTATGGACCTTGTCCAGCCTTGTTGACACAGGACACTCTAAACCTTATGACGCCACCTGGTGGCAGGTCAGTGACATTGTAGTAGCAGTCCACTATTCCGGTGACAACAGTCACCCAATGAGAATCACCTGCAAAAATAAAGAAAAAACAGGACAGTAAGTTTTATGAGCCAGACAAAAAAATCTAATAAAACTTTGGTGTCAGACTAAAACCTTGTATCTCCATTTTGCACAATGTTAATAATTTTGCATAAACCAACTCAATTGGTCACTTTTCTAATGAAACGTAAAAAAGTAAAGACTTTATTTATTATATAAAAAAACTTTTTTTCCTGTATCTGAAAATGTTCATTTTCACAGATAAAGGTTTCTGGTAGACAGAACAATCTGGTCGAAGCTCAGTCCTCCAGGACGTGGTCATGGAGTAAAGCTTACTAACAGCAGGTCTTCCCAGTCCATGTACAAGATGCTCTTTACGCATTATTAAATAACTGGATTTATGTCTGGATCATCCTCATTTTTTAAATAAAATGTTTTTTTTCTCCTCTCATACTTCTTATTTATTTCTTGAAATGGAAAACAAAATGTTTCCAAGGAAATAAAGACGTCCAGTTTCCTTTTTTTCCCCCGAATCTACTGGCATGAAAAACATGTTGCAGTTTTTAAACTGCACACTAGATGGCGGTGTTAGCTGGCTCATCAGATGATCTGAGGACTAGAAGCTCCTTTTTCCTTTTGAAAAATGATCTGTCATCGTTTTTAATGTGTGCTGTTCTCATGATAAATGAAAGCAGAAGTAAAACAGTGATGCACATCACTGGTGACTGGTAAAGATCAAACAAAATGGTGGAATAGATCGAAAACCAGCTGTAAATTTAGTGTGAAGAATATCCCTCCATCGTTCTCCAAATAGAGCCTGAACGTTGACATAGCAATGGCACAAATTAAATCTGAAGACAGAGGAGTGTTTCATATCTGACTGTAAAAGTTCCTTCATTTATGTCTTGCTCACCTTCTGTTTTCCTTTCCAGAGAGTAGCTGCAAGGAGATTTGGTGTCTGCTGGCTTCCACAACACCAGAGCCGTGTTGTTGTAAGTCTGCGCTACTTCAGGGGTTCCTGGCCGCTTAGGCATCACTGGAAATTAATGCCAGTGATATGATTAATATCAATTTTAACGACAAGAGGCACAGAATGTGGCAGAAAATGCAAAGAACCCCCCAAATGACGTTAATTTCTTTTTATGCAATTGCTTTGCTGACGAGGCTGCGTTCTTCAGTTTTCAGTAGTGCTGTGTCATATCATCCACAATAATCTCAGCAAATGGCCCGTAACTGTGTAGTGCCTTTTTAGGATTCTGCAACCCCCCCCCCCCCCCCCACCCACCCACCCCCACCCCCCCCCACCCCCACCCCCAGGTGCTTCACAACAAAATCAGTCATTCACACACTGGTGATGAGCTCAAATGTATCCACAGCTGCTCTGGGGTGCACTGACGGAGGCCAGACTACTGAACACCAGCGCCACCGGCCTCTACAACCACCACCAGCAGGCAAGGTGGGTTAAGTGTCTTGCCCAAGGACACAACAGCAGTATTCTCTGTTCGGAGCGGGGACTGAACCGACAACCTATACTGTATCATGTGATCTAAGTAGTTTCATATTAGTGGTATTCATTTATATGGAATCCCAGTCCAGAGTGGCAAGGAGAAACAGATAACTGACCCCTGCTTCACACTGGAAGCATCAGTGTTGTGGAATGGTTTACTCGTGTGCTTCGCTGCATGCCAGCACACACAGGGACAATCTCAGCCAGGGACCGGCTTCTGCTTAACTCGCAAGACCACAACATCCCAAAATCCCATCCGCCTTTAAACCAAAAATGAAGGAAATCACATTTGATATCGCTGTTTGATGTCATATATGATGTTGTTCCTCTTCACCGTCAGGATTAAAGCCAAGAAAAACACACAGTTGCACTTCTGGAACAACGCTGAGAGTAAATAAGACGTGAGGTCACACGTGTAGACCTAAACTATATTGATATGAAATCACATCGCTGCAATGGTCTTTTATTTTGAAAATCACTGAACGTTTTACATTGAAACCGCGTGATTTCCAGTTTGGCCCTATTTTAACAATGAAAATTGACGTGTCCCAGAAGCGGCTCACGGCTAAAATATAGAACCTGATCCTTACTTTAGCAGCGCGGTGTGGCAAGCTGCCTGAAAATTTCCCGTTCGCAGCCAGCTTGAATCCACCCCATAGACTATAATAGATTTCATTTTAAGCTACTGTTCTGCGCTGCTGATGCTTCCAGTGTGCTGCAGGGGTGAGAGTACTCCCTTATTTATTACTGTTATTATAAAGTCAAGTGAAAAAGAAAGCTGGACTTTTTTTGGCCTTTTGAGGCTTCCATACATTCATGGTCCACGGTGCGATCATTGGTGCATTAAGAATTGTTGTTGATATATCGACTAGAGGTGGGAAAAATGGTCGATTCTAAGATGCATCGCCGCGCATGATTCTGCATCGATGCAGCAACGTGACATAATGAGATTTTGTCCCTATGTCTATGTCTATGCTCTGGAGGCGCGAGGACAATAAAGTTTTGAAGTTTTACAGTTACTTCTGGGGGCAGAGTTGCAATGACATGTGCACTGCGTTGCCCTAGCGCCAATTTAAAACGAAATGGTGGACAGGGATACAGGGCGAACATCACCAGTAATCAAATATGTACCCGTTACATTTAAATCGGATGTCTGGGCTAATTTCGGTTTTGGGATCCTAGATGTGAAAGAATCACTTAACACAGTATTTGTTTACTATTTTTAAGTTCAGTAGTATTCTATCTTAAAGCTGCTCCACCGAAAACATGATTTCTTATATAATTTAAGTAATTATAGGCAGCACACTTTAAAAATTTTTGCTCACTATAGTGAACAGATGAATGTCGAAATAAAAAAGAAATTGAAAACTATTCTACTGCTTTTATTAAAGGGACTTTTTGGACATTTGAATTTTTATGCTTGCGATTGCCCCCTCAGGCCAAAAGCGTAACAGCAGCTTCAATAGTAGGCTTGTGCACGAGGCGCGCATGCTGTACATGCACACTCCTTAACAAAAATAACAGCTGAGACAGTCCCGTGCGTGTGTGTGTGGCCCGGAGGACAGAGGACAGGAGAACGCGCAGCTAATTAATTAAATAATTTGGTTCTGTACCTTTCTCTTCAGCACAGCCGACAAAGGTTTATGATGGGTCAGTCCTTCTGCATGCTCAGATCATTCTCTTCCCTTGCTTGAAAAATTGTTCCAAAATGAAAGTTGAACCCACATCTTTTTTATCTGTGAATTCAATGCCGTTCGGCAAGTCTCAAATAAAAATTTGGGCATCTTACTGTAAAAAAAATATACCATTAATGTAAAAAAAACAACCCTCTAAATAAACTATGTTCACAGCCAGAATCAAACCCAGGTCTTCTGCATGACAGTCACACAAGGTGAGCTACACACCAGTAAAAATCTAAGTATCTGTAACATTTATATCCTTGATGACAGCTGAAACGTCAAACCAAAGAACAGTTCGGAGCGAAAATGGCTATTTTGTTGCTAATTTGCAGGAAATATCTAGAAGAAAGTAGCTAAGGGTCCTCAGAAATGTAGCTAGGTTCATCACTAGAGCCCTTTTCAGATAGACATTCTGGAACATTTGCGGACAATTCAATCCGGTTTTTAACCGGAACTGTGTTTTCAGACACACCACTTTTCTACCGGAACTTGTCCTTTCGGCTGCGTTCACACAGCAGGGAAACGTTCCAGATGTCTGACGGCGGCGGGGGGTGGGGGGTAGAATCGGACTTATGTTAAGAAGAAGAAGAAGAAAATATCATTTCTATAGCGCCTCTCAAGATAAAAATCACGAGGCGTTTAAGCATAATTCTGCGCACACGAAGACACATAAGAGACCTGGATGATGAAGCTCAATGGTTAAAGGAATCACTGAAGCGGTGTGAAGCGCTCCGTCGCGCGTCTAGGCGGTACCGTAGGAGGCGAGCTGCATTGGTTTGCCGCATGCTGCAGTAGCGGGCTATCTAGGTGCGCACAGCGTCCCCCGGTCCCCTCCTCCTCCCCCTCCCGCTTGTCTGGAACTCTAACTAACCAATCTGAAGCAGCCACCTTGTCCGTAACAAGTCCGGACCTGTTACTAGGGGCTTCGTCCGGTTAAATTCCGGAACACGTTATCCGGATGTTTGTATTCAGACACAAAGGTCTTACGGACAGAGTCCGGAACATTTCCGTTTTTCATGGCCTGTCTGAAGGGGGCTTAGGCGTTAGGAACAGTGACAAAGTCGATGAGTTATCACTACCTCACTCTCTGCTGCTAAAGCTACTGATAGCAAATGCTACGGGCGATGCCTGAGCGTGAACGCGCATGAAGCAGCCTGCTCGACCCGAGCAGCTCTCTTTTTCTGTGATTTTACAGAAAAACAGGCAATCACAATAAAAATGCCAGGGCTCATTCTACAGGACCAGGGCATTGCAGGAGAATGTATGAAGAAGAAATTTATTATTTCTGTACATGTTTTGCCTGTCAAACTTCCATAACGTCCCTTTAAGTAATGAAAAATTTTGTGTGAAGAATCATGATGCATTTCAGACTCAAATCGAATCTTTAGGTAGATAATCGGAATCTGATCGAATCGTGAGGCAGTTAGAGATGAACACCACTAATATCGACCATCTCTAACTTTTAGGCTTTAAGTCTGTAAATTCTAATAACTTACTTGTGTAAAAAATATATTCTGTACACCTCATCAAACCCAGGACACTAAATAAATCCAGATAATGGCATTAGTGCTTTTCTAAATGTATTTCTCATCACATGCTGGCACCCGGTCCAGTCAAGCAGCCAACACTTAATACAAGATAAATATTTTTACAGAATTCCTCCTCATGGATCATCAGGGGGAGTGTTCTTCCAGCTGAAGCTTAAAAAAAATACCCATCTTCATCATCATTAGAATAACTGCTGCCTTGCAGAAGCTCAGTGTTTTATTCTTAGAGTCAAAACAGGCCTGGCTGCTGCAGTTAATTTCAATTATCATTAAACACAACTGGGAGAGAAAAAAACCCATCATTTATACTTGTTAGATGATGGATATGAGAAAAGCTGAAAATCCATTAAATTAATCCACTGTAACACTAATTGGATGACATTAATATTCAAATCATTCAGAACGATTTAAATTCAATCGTTCAAAACGTGACAGCAGAAAAATCGTTGCATGAAATGTAGATGAGCAGTCCGTTTGGAATAAATCGCAGATCATTGCATAAAATGAAACACTCACAGGCAAGGCAGAGTGTGCAGGAGGTGGTGATAGTGGCAATGGGGTTGGTTGCTACACATTCATAAACTCCAGCGTCCCTATGGCTGGATTTCTGTATGGTAAGGAGCTGTCTTCCATCGGTGTGGGAGACCAGCTTGAGCCGGTCTTCTGTCACCTCCAGTGGTTTCCGATCTGCAACATTTCAAAATGCCGGTGAGCGTTTGAAGGTTTTATGAATGGGTCATTGTTGGGATTGAGGTTACCTTTCATCCATGTGATTTGGGGGTGTGGACTGGCTGCTGGGAGGCAGCTCAGGGTCACAGATTCTCCCTCCAACAAGATGTGGTCTTTTAGCTTTATGTGGAACACTGGAGCAAAATCTGAGGCAGAGCGGATGAAGCCTTGACCCTTTGTTGAACCTTCTTCCTTGGGTATAGTTGAGGGTAAATCCGACCGCAAAGGAGTTTTGTCCCTCTTGGCCCTGGTCAAGCCCCATTTGTCCCACCGTGATCGCCTGTCGCTCTCTGAGGCCCGATCAGACTGGATGCTGGATGTGGACTCAATGGATTCTTTGGAAGCTCTAGCACTGGTTTGTTTTGCGAGCTGGTTCTCAGGGATACCCATTTGTTTGAGTTCACGTCCCTCAGAATGGGAACGACGATGCCGAGGAAAGGGAGGGGTACTTATAACCTCTTCATCTACTGTTCTGTCTTTAGACTGACTGCGCACTTTGGAAACTTTGCTCTCAAATCGTTGACGCATCACCAGAACAGGAGATTCTAAGACCTTTTTGAGATCCTTTAGGTCTTTGTGACTCCCCCCACCTTCTTTGGCTTTCCTCTCCTCTGACTGACTCCTTATTTTGGCTGAGATGCCTGCCACTTTAGACTCAAACTTGCGCCTCATGGAAGAAACTGATGATTCCTCTGCCTTCTCTTGCTCGAGTTCATCCACTTGCCTCCGTGTCTTGGAACTACTCAGATCTGTTGTATCCAGAGACTTACTCCGACCAACGGCCCAGGAAACCCTCTTATTTATGGCAGCTTCTTGAACATTCTGTTGCTTTCCCCCATTTGGTTTCTCACCTTTCTTCTCGGTGGATGTTGATTTCTTCGCTCGCAAAGACAGCCTCCCAATCAGACCAAGGCCCGCTTCTCGATCCACTTCTCTTAAATCTTGAACGGATTTGGATTTTTCCGATAGTACTCTGGGTACCATTTCCAGAGGCGCCCCCCTCGGTCCTGGCCTGTAAATTTCTTCACCACCTTCAACCTCTTTACGGCTCAATATGGGTGATTTCTCATCTGATTTGTTCCTGGTCAGTTTGCGGAGGCCACGGGTCAAAGACGACTCCCGCTTCTTAAACCTGGCTTCAAAGACTTCCTCTGAATCGATGTCTTTGATGTCTGTTCTGAGCACTGGATGACGGGGGACGGTAGGAAGATTGGAGCTAGATGAAAGGGAAACGGAAGCAGGAGCTTGGTCACTAGTTGCTATTTTGGCAAACACAGCTGGATGCTCGGGCGATGCAGATGTACCGGTAGACTTTGTGCCATTCTCTTTCTCACCCTTGCCATGGTTCTTCTCTTCATCTTCCACTATAACAGGTTTGGATTCAGATTCTGCTCTACCTCTCTTTTCTAGTTGAGATTTGGTCCTTTGGTCTGTTCCCTCTACATTGTCATGTTTCACATTGTTCTGGTGTATGTGTTGGTCCAGTTTTGGTTCTGTTGGGAATACAAAGGAAGTTTCCTCTCTCTGTGAGGAAGATAAGGACTCTAATGTTGTTTGTTCCATCAGCGCAGACATTGAAGTCGCCTCTTGAAGTGCCTTCCCTTCTATGTTTGCACTGCAGGCAGATGGGATCTCCAAGGGGGCTCCAAATCTACGGTGCAAGGGCATGGGCTCAGAATCTCCCTGAGTGAAGGAGACAGTTTTGCGGAAAATGTTGGTCTTTGGTGTGTCCTCTCCTGAACTCTCGGATGACGCTGCTCGGGCGAGCATTGATGGCCCTGCTCTAGATCTTCTCAAATTTCGATCAAGGGATCTAGTTTGGCTCTCGTCATCCATGCCAAGCGTTTCAAACAAAGGCCCCCGCAGCCCGCTCATCTTTTTATCAATATTTCCCCCTCTTAGCAGTCGCTGCCTCATCAGCTCCAGTTTGAGGGCATATTCCTCCTGACTTAACTTTGTAGCCCCAGGGCTTGAGCTGCGGTTTGGCAGCTCCATAGAAACAGCCTTTTTCAGACTCTTGCTACTTGTCTCCAAGTCCTCATTTGCATTTTCCTTGTCTGTGTATACTTGGAGAAGCAGTGCCGAATCAGCAGAGCTGCCTCTCCTCATGGTAGCCCGTCTTGGTCTTGTCTGTGATTCGTTGGACTCAACACTTGATCCTTTTTTAAGAGCATCTCGTTCATATTTGCCTAATGTCTCCTCATTTGGAGTTTTATCTGATTCGCTTGTATTAGCCCCTCTTTCATCACCCATGAGGTCCCTTTCCTTCCTACTATTAGGGAGATCAACTTCATCCACTGGGATCTCATTAAGGGAGATCCTGGAACCAGAGAAGACCATGGACAGGGGCATGGGAACAAAGGGAAGCTCATCCGCATCTACGTCTGAGTCAGAGGACGACGAGGGTGCCGGGGAGCCTTCTTTCAAATGCCGGGCCACGGCAATGGAAACATGGGTGGATGAGTCACTCAGAAGCTCTGGGATGGACCTCATTACCATTTTGGATTTGTAGCTGATGAGAGAGCGCTGAAAAAATAAAATCAGAGGGTAGCAATGAGAGGGGATTTGTTTTATGCAGTTTATTAGCCATCTAAATCACCGCTTTGAATCTCTAAGAAACATGAGAAAATGTCTTTTGGCTTCCCAAGAGCCCTTATACAGACCATTCTAAACCCCCTAAATCAGCCTTGCTGTGAAAAGAGCCATTTACCCTTCCCACTTGGCCAGGACATGAATATGCTAATGAGCTGCTTGCTGATTGGTTGGTTTAAACCAGAAGGCCTCAGACACTGGAGACAGCAAATTGGACGGGGAAGGGCTCCACATTGTGACATTTTTATCATGTTTCTCAGAAAAGAAGATTTTCTCTGGCATTTTTAAACTTTCTCATTTACATAAAAAGTAGGTCACACACGGCTTTGACTTTTCTGTACTTTTGACCCCCCAAGCTGTCTTTATTCACAAACAAGAAAAATGTTGGTTTCAATTCTTTGTCCCCATTAATGGTTACATACATTACATTTATTTATCAACATGAGATGTCTTAAATGACTGGACTTATGTTAGATCAGTTAGCAAGTTATCAGTTAGCAAGTAAACAAAGTAGGTCACAAATGAAAGTTTAGTTCAAATTTTGCCTCTTTTGCATGTCATTAAATTAAAACTAGAAGGATAATTTGGAATGGTCACGATAGTGCCACTTTATACATTATAGGATTAAAATAAATATTTATGAAAGTATTTAAAGGGGCCATTTTATGAAAAATCACCAATTTGGAGCTTTTTACCACGTGGTATTTTTTATGAAAAATACCACCAAACCAGTTTTTTTTTTTGCTGCACTCATGTATTTTCCTGTCTCAGCTGCAAATTTAGAGATTTATTTTGAAAATCCTGATAACCCTTGATGGAAAGTAAGTGCGTCAACTGGCCCTGCTTCTTTCCTCAAAGCTAGTCTCTGAATTGAAACTCGCCTTGCCTGGAAGTAGGTCACTAACTCCCACTTTCTTCTAGTTGCGGGCATAGAGATGCTTCACTTGAGAATGATAAATGGCCTGTATTTGTATACTTCTTAGGGTTGTACATCCCCCAAGGCGCTTCACAACTCAATCAGTCATTCACACATTCGCATTGAACTTGCAATATTCCAATTACTGAACAACACACTCTACCTCCTGAGCTACTGCTGTCCCTGCATGTGACCTTCATGTCACAGATGATTGTTTTAAACCACGACCAGTATCAGAGTGGATATTCTGACAAATTATTTCTGCGTTGGGGACAAAAACCCTTGATAAACCATGTGTCCTGTCAACAAAGATGCACATAATAGCCAGCACAGGACATAAGTGTTAGGTGACTATTGTTTTGGAACAGACTTGGTAGTCCAGTGGTTAGAGTGCCAAGGCAGTCGCTTTAACCACTGGACTACCAAGGCCCATACAACAGCAGACTTGACTAAGACACTGTTGTAGGTGCATTTTGTAAGAGAGTGTGTGGGCGGAGCTTCACTGAAATGAGCCATTTCATTTCCGGGTATGAATTCAGGCTGACGATAATAACCTACTTGAGATAAAATTAAATCTCAGTAGTGCCATTGGTAATATTTTTCCATATACTGTGCCTACCTTTGCTCTTAAAGATTTAAAATAGCATGAGCTGGAAACATATATATATATATATATATATATATATATATATATATATATATATATATATATATATACATATATATATATAGAATAGAATAGAATAGAATAGAATAGAATAGACTTTATTGTAATTGCTCATGGCAATTAAATTACAGATGGTCTGCCATCAACAGTGCACAAGACAATAAGTGACAATAAATGTCAAAAGCCATAAAGGACTAAAAACAATTTAAAAACATTTAGCAAACAACAAGAAAGTACAACCCATGATTTGGATCTGCTAAAACAATAAAATGATTTAAAACAGATGAATCCACATTACTGATGGGGATGTGGGGGGTTGAATGGTGCTGTTGTGTTGAATGTTCTGATGGCCCAAGGGAAGAAGCTGTTGGAAAGTCTGGTGGTGTGTGATTTAACTGACCTGAAGCGGCGCCCTGAGGGCAACAGTTCAAACAGGCAGTGGGCAGGGTGGGTGGGGTCACGGAGGATAGCAGCGGTTCTCTTCAGGCAGCGGGTTCTGGAGATGGCCTCCAGGGATGGCAGGGTGCAGCCAATAATCTTATATATATATATATATATATATATATATATATATATATATATATATATGTATATATAACTCGAGCTCGATGTCTTTGATGTCTGTTCTGAGCACTGGTGACCTGAGCTTCAGAGATCCGCATTTAATGTTTTAAACACCACCACGGGTCTCCAGAGCCCAGCGCGGACAGACCTCCCTGTCCCGGTACCGACCGATGTGGGCTACAGAAGTCCCATCTTTTCAGCTGCACAAAACGCCCTCAGGCACGGAGATAGAGGTGTTGTTTCTCTTATTTAGAAATCCGTGGACTCGATGTCCAGACAGGCTGGAGTTGGTACAACCTTCACAAATTATAGTTCATCAAAATGAACACCATCCAAAACTAGAAAAGACACACACTAACTCGATGACCTGACCCCTCTACCCTAAAACCACTCACTCTCCACACTGAGCTGAGGCAGCACCTAGCTTCTAACTCTCTTCGTCGTGAACTTGGCAGAGGACCGTAAGGACACCAGAGCACAGTAGGTGGTAGTAAACAGTCTTTATTAGCTTGAAGCTAAGAGGAGATGTTACCGGAGTGGAGTTCAGGTAAAGGCAGAGCCCAGGACAGACGTGGGTCGGAACCAGGCAGAGACGAAGCAGCTTCGAGGAGCAGGCGAGAGACGTGGTCGAGGACAGGCGTGGATGCCCAACTGGGCGCAGAACGATTTCCAGAATCTGGAAACAAACTGTGGACCCCTGTCAGACACAATGTCTTGGGGCAGGCCGTGAAGGTGAAAGACCTAGGCTTTAACAAAGTCCTGAGTGCCCTTAGAAAGCGTGGGCCACTAAAATCTGCTCTTGACCAGGTTGATGGTACGGGTGATACCTGGGTGACAGAACAAGCGAGAGCAGTGGCAAAACGAGAGTACCTCAGTCCTCGTGGGGTCAGGGATGTAGAGACGATCCGTCGGGCACTGAGAGGGGGCCAGGTAGAGATGTTTAGTCTCCTAGAGTTTACCTTCCAGGACAAGGCAGAAAGCACCCAGCAGGACCCCCTTAGGCAAGGTGGTGGAATCGGTGGGAAGCATGACCTTGGAGGACTGGGTTTCCATGATGAGTGACAGGGCGTAGGGTTTGGTGTTCTTGGAACCAGGTCTGTAGGACAAGGTGAAGTTAAAATGACTGAAAAACAGGGCCCACCTGGCTTGTCGAGGATTGAGGCGCTTGGCAGTTTGCAGGTATTCCAGGCTCTTGTGGTCCATCCAGACAAGGAAGGGGGTGATGGCTCCTTCCAACCAGTGCCTCCATTCTTCTAGGGCAAGCTTAACTGCGGGCAGTTCTCAGTTACCCACATCATAATTCTTCTCAGCTGGTGAGAGGGTCTTGGAGAAGAAGGCACAAGGAAGGAACTTGTTGTTACCTCCACGTTGACTCAGAATGGCGCCCACCCGACTCCCGAGGCACCCACCTCCACAATGAACTGACGTGAGGAGTCAGGAGAGTGGAGTACTGGAGCGGTGGTAAATAGATTCTTGAGTTGGAGGAAGGCTTGGTTAGCAGCATGATTCAATGTAAAACTGGTCTTGCTTGAGGTGAGGGCATGAAGAGGTGAGGCTATCGATGTAGTCCTTGATGAAGCGTCGGTCAAAGTTGGCAAATCCAAGAAAGCGTTGTAGCTTTTTCTTGTCAGTGGGAGTGGGCCAGTCTGTGACAGCTTCCAACTTGGCAGGATCCACGGAGCCATGGTCAGGGGTGAGGATGAATCCAAGAAAGGATATACTGTCTTTGTGGAACTGACACTTTTCGGCTTTTATGAAGAGATTATTTTGTAGTAGCCAGAGGATGACAGATCAGACTTGCTTCTTGTGAGTTTCGGGGTCTGGAGAGAAAACAAGGACATCATCAAGGTAGACGAAAACAAATTTCCCCACCATGTCACAAAGGACGTCATTGATCAAAGCTTGGAAAACTGCAGGGGCGTTGGTGAGGCCAAATGGCATTACGAGGTATTTATAATCGCCTTCTGGATTTTTGAATGCTATTTTCCATTCGTCGCCTTCTCTGATGCGGACAAGGTGGTAAGCGTTATGTAAGTCGAGCTTGGTGAAGGTCCGGGACCCTTGGATGTAGTCGAAGGCAGAATTAATGAGGTGAAGTGGATAGCGATTCTTCTCAGGGATGTTGTTAAGTTCCCTGTAATCAATGCAGGGGTGTAAGGAACCGTCTTTTTTCCCCACAAAAAAGAAACCTGCTCCGGCTGGGGACGAGGAGGGGTGGATTATCCCAGATTGAAGAAACTCGTGAATATATTTTTTCATGGATTCTTGTTCGGTGAGAGACAAGGAAAACAGACGTCCTCTAGGTGGCGTGGTTCCAGGTAATAGGTTGATGGGGCAGTTGTACGGGTGATGAGGCAGCAGTCTGGTAGTTCGAAGTTTACTGAAGGCTTCTTTGAGATCGTGATAGTCGATGGGCACCTTGAAGAGGTCAGGGTACTTTACCATGGGGTCTGGCGAATCAGGGAGACAAGGCGAGGCGTTGGACAGGCATTGCGAGAGGCACAGGTCTGACCATCCAAGAATTTCCTCTTTATGCCAGTCTATGTGGGCGTTGTGGGTCTGGAGCCATGAGAATCCCAGGATGATGGGAATATCAGGGGACTGGATGGCCATAAAGTGTAGAACCTCCACGTGGTTGCCGCAGATTTTCATGGTGACAGAGTCAGTTTCCTGGGTGGCTTGATTAATAATGTGTCCATCGATGGCTTGAACCTTCTTTACCTGGGTGATGGGATGCAGAAGAAGTCCAATAGAGGTGGCAAAAGCAATGTCTATGAAGTTAATGTCTGCACCAGAGTCGATAAAAACACGACAGGTATGTTCCTGGTTAGCGTGGGAAAATACTGCCGATGTGAAGGGTCGTGCAGGAGACTTGGGTTTAGTACAAACCAATAGGGGGCTCCTGTCCCCTATCGGGTCAGCTCTTTTACTTGACATGTGTGAACAGCATGGCCAGAACCTCCACAATAAAAGCACAGTTTGTGAGTTTGTCATCTGTCCCTCTCTTCTACCGACAACTTGGTTCGCCTAATTTGCACAGGTTCGTCACAGGGGGTTGGTTGAGGATTAGGAATACGTGGTGGTCTTCTGATCCTGTCTCTCCTTTTCATCAGGCGGAGATCGATGCGGGTAGCGAGATCTTCAAGATCCGCCAAGGTCATCATAGGTCTCGGGTCGCCAGTTCATTCTTAATGTTATCTGAGAGACCATAATTGAAGATGTCCATGAGGGCTGCATCATTCCAGGGGCTGTCAGCAGAAATGGTGGGGAAATCCCTGATGTAATCAGTCACTCTCCGGGTTCCCTGTTACAAAGATAAAAGTTTTCTGGAAGATTCACGGCTTGGCAGGATTGGGTTAAAAACCCTTATGAGTTCATCAGCAAAAGTCTGGTACTGGTAGCAGATGTGTGAGTCATTGGCCCAAGCAGCTGTTCCCCACACCTTGGCTTGGTCTGATATTTAAAGTATCAGTAAGCCACTTTGGATCTGTCTGTAGGAAAAGAGGAGGGTTGGAGTTGGAAGTGCATTTCACATTGTGCGAGAAAGGGACGACATTGTTGAAGATCCCCCTAAAACACTTCTGGTGGAACCAGCCGTGGCTCGTGGACAGGCGAAATCCGGAACTGAACTGGTTGGGTGGAAGCGTTGGGTCGCAGTAGCTCCAGCAGTTCGCTGACTTTGGATTCCAAGCCAGGGATGGCTGTCTCAACTCCGCGTTGCCATTCCTTTGTTGGCGTCGGGTCAATGTTGGTCAGATTATTCTGTCTTGAACTTGGCAGAGGACTGTAAGGACACCAGAGCACAGTAGGCGATAGTAAACAGTCTTTATTAGCCTGAAGCTAAAAGGAGATGCTACTGGAGTGGAGTTCAGGTACAGGCAGTGTCTAAGATAGACATGGATCGGAACCAGGCTGGGACGAAGTAGATGCGAGGAGCAGGCGAGAGACGTGGTCGTGGACAGGTGTCGGTCGTGGAGGCAGGCAGAGTTCTTGGCGAAGGTCAGGCGTGAAATGAGGTCGGTAGATGATGATCAGGCACGATGAAAAGGCTGGAAGATCTACTAGCAGACGCGTTCAATAATCTGGCAGAGTGCTGGTGATTGACTGTGGAATATGTAGCTGGTGAGGCAGGTGTGTGGCATGAGCTTGATGAGGGGACCAGGTGTGATGCATGAAGGCTGATGAGGTGGATGGAGGTAGCATGGAGGTCAGGACATGGCAGGATCATGACACCCTTTGGTTATGTCAGAGGTTCAGATTTAGGAAAAAGAGCCTTTTTAGAAGCTTTGCACAGAAAAGCCACTTTTCACTAGAACAACTCTGCTGTTATGTATTTTAAAACAAAATATCCACAATAAGCATTTCAAATAGTATTTTTTGGACAGCATTTTATATGAATTAGAAAAAAAAACCTGCAAGTTGCTCTTTACCCTTCATCTCTAACACTCTCATGTGAGTTTACCTGCCAACGCCTCCTAGATAGGACCTCCTTTAGCGAAGCTGTGCTGATGCTCTTATTCGTTGTTGACTGCAGGGCAAACAGGTTACACCACATTAACCTTGGCAGGGATAGAAATAAATCTACTAACAGTTCCAGGCAGATGTTCTGACTGATGGCTCACCTTAAACCAAGGATGACGGAGGCATTCAGTGGCGCTCGGTCTCCTAGGAGGGAGAGGCGATAATGCATGAGACGAGGAAGAAACCGACAGTTAAATCTCAGAAGTTCAAACCATAGCAGGCGTACAGTCTGTCCACCACCAAAAACTTGATGACAAATCCCTTTGCTTCTTTGCAGAGGTCCAAGAACATGCTCTCCTCAAAAGCCACATTGTAGTTGCGGATGTTTAGGGCGGTGGCTCTGTCGTTCTCACCAGCAAAGGGAGACACCCCAGTAAGACTAAAACAGGAAGAATTAAACACATTTCTTGAGGAGTTCTTCAGGGATTGAGGCTAAATGCTCAACTATAAAGCTATTAAACATACCAGAGGTAAGCAATGACACCAACAGACCTGTAGAGGAGCATAACAGATTCATTGGAAGAGGATTTTGGGGGGGGGGGGGGGGGGGGCAGAAAACACTGTGGCTTGTGAGACAGTATTTCCTGCAGCGCAGAGCCAGTACTCCATGCTAAGGAGCAGGTGGCTTACCATATGTCTGTTGCTGTGGAAACTGGAGTTTGGTTTACAATCTCTGGAGCAACATACTCTGGTGTGCCATATTTGCAGTAGTACTCCTCTGACGCATCCAATTTTATGGCATTTCCAAAGTCACAAATACGGATATGGTCACTTCCTGGAGCTGCCATTAAAATGTTTTCAGGCTAAAAGAGGCAAAAACAGAGAAATAAGCAAGTTTGTTGAAATAAATTAAATAATTTAAAATAAAATAATATAAATGTGTGTGTGTGTGTGGGGGGGGGGGGGGTGTAATACCTTTACATCGAGGTGAACGATACTGTTTTGGTGCAGATAACGAAGACCCTCCAGAATCTGCTGAACAGAATTGCGAATCTGAAAGAAGTGAGAAGTAATTGAATTAAGTCTACATTGGTGTTACATAATATATCAGCGCAGTGCGCAAAGCAGAAGCAGGCAGACCTCCCGCTCCATAACGGTTGTTTTCTTGGCCATCCTATCCAGCAGCTCCTCGTGACATCTTTACACAATAGTTGAGGAAGAATGAGAAAAACACATGGAGAAGATTCCAAGAAGTGGGTGCAGGAGAAATAAATTATAAATGAGCAAAACTCCCACACAGGCTATCTATTGCTAATTCCACAGAGCAGCAGTGAGTCAGAGAGGAGCAGCTGCTTCGTTCATGGCTCCAGGGCACTGCAGAACACATTAGGATCAGTGGTTTGGATCTCGCTGTGGAGAGATGCTTAGCCGAAGGTTTGCTTGACAACGAGGTAAAAAGATTTGAAGCAGCACAAGCCAATGACAGCAAAAGGATACAGCTCTGTAATGAGCACCACCACATTCTTCTTCTCAAAGGCGTCGTGAAAGTAGAGAATCTTCTCGTTGTCCAGCTCAGAGAGCAGCTCCATCTCTCTAAGGGCTGAGGCTTTTCTTTTTCCTCGAGCTGAAATGAATTTGGCTGCAAATTCAGTCTTCCCTTCCTTAAGCGTGACTCTCTTCACATAGGAGAAGGCTCCCCTGTAACAGCAAACAGTTGTGCTTATCTTTGTGCTCGAGCCAAGATTCATCAACCTGCACCATTTGCTCCCATTACCTGCTTCTTCTAAGTATCACAAAGGCAAATAGCTTTCCTCACAGTTCTTAATGCAGGAAGAACAAAGGAACTCCTCCTCAGGGAGGAATCACATTAGGAATATCATCTCAGAATCAGCAGGATGCTTGTTTCTCCTTTACAGACACGTCTGTTTATTTCCATTTAACAAATATGTGTATAATATAAAAAAGATACTTTATAACAGCTTATGCGGCTTTGCTCTTTATCGTCCTGTTAAGACTCACCACTGCCATATGTATGAACGCCTTTCATGTTGTCCTTAAACGCTAGGCATCAATGTCATTTGTAGTTACTAAGTATTTTCAAATGCATTTATTTAGAATTTTCATTCTATTTAAAAACACAGTTATTACCCATTCATTCTCAGTGTCATACTTGTTTTAACGACCAGCTTTCTTTAGTAAGTCCTGGTTTAAAACAGCAGCAGGGGATGCTGTTTCTGTTAAAGCTCCTCTGGACTGGAATAAGCTACCCGCAGATTTAAGGTCAATTTCTTCATTTTGCTTATTGAGTAGGTCTGTTTATGTTTATATTCAGCAAAAATATAAACATAAACTGTCTAATTAACGCGAGCATTCTCTAAGCATTTGGAATGTGACTTTGCAACGTTTGCATTTATGCGTATGTGTTTGTGAATTCGTGTGAATTTATGGCAAAATATTTATTGTACATGCCACAGAAATATTTTTTGTTGTTGTTGCTTTTAATTTGTGATTATTGTTTAAGATTTGTTTTTAAATCTTGCTTTTTTTAGGTATAATGTAGGAGGACCCGCTTGAAAACGAGATGGCTCATCTCAAGCAGTTTTATCCTCCTAAAATATAAGTCAATAAATAAATAAATGCTATTCCAGAGAACGAGCAGTATAGCTATGTCTTCTGTAATGTTAGGGATGTCCCGATACAACTTTTTCACTTCCGATACGATACCGATATTGCAGCCTTCGGTATTGACCGATACCGATATCGATCTGATACGATATCAGCACAAATCATACATACTTTTACCTATTTCGTAGTGTGGAATGTATGAAAGGCTTGATCAAATGATATTACTCAGCTGGAGAACAAGAGCCAATAACAGTGAGTATGAAAAAAGGACAATTTTTTGTTAACCATTGGTTGCAAAAATGTGAACCTTCACGAACCGCTTACATCAGAGATTTTTGATGCCGTCCGATATAATCCGATACACTGTTTTTGGGCCAATATGGAATTACTTTCGATATCGATATCGGAATGGGACATCCCTATGTAATGGTAAGTAATAAAATAAATTTAAACAATTTTATATTTGATAAATTATTCATGATTCCGTCAGTGTCTCACTCTCATTTCCTAACATACCTGACACCTTTTTGAGAAGTAACAGTCTAGCCGCTTTTTCTTTGCTTCTATTGCAAAGGCTTTAAGAATTAGATACAGATACACTCCTCTTGATTGCACTTGAAAAAAACACACAAATCTGGGCCTCAGTATCAAGATTGGGAATCACAAATCTAAAGTTATGGTTTATTTAAGGTTCTTATGGAAACAATTCTGCATTTTAAAACTGTCCTCATGATAAATGATAAATGAGCCGCACTTGTATAGCCCCTCTCAGAGTAAGGACTCCAAAGCGCTTTACACTACAGTGTATCATTCATCCACTCACACACACATTCACACACTGAGGACTTCTTGTTTTATCTGTTGATGGTGTTTGCTCCTTCTCCACTAATTTATCAGGACAATTTTTCTTGCAAAGAGAATTGAGATCATCAGCTACAATTATGTTTTATCTTTGGGTAGTTTTCCATTTTGCATAGGGGAAGAAATCTGAGTTTCATTTAAAATCTTTTGTTCTTCTCTCTGGCTGGAAAACAGATTTTGTCATTTGCCTGTTTCTGCCTCTCAGACAGCTCTTCGGCTCGCAGTGAACGCTTCCCTCTCCGCTGAGACAGAACAAAACAAATAATCTGCTGGCTAATGCATTCAATCCACTCAGGCTGGTGACTCATCTCTGTTTCTGTCTGCTGTCATTAAGCAGGTGCAACCCCCTCAACTCCTCTTCCACCCCATCAACTCCCCTAGCTCGACCCTGGGTGCTCAAACAGCTATTAACATCCTCGCTTTGTCTGAAGAGATGTGAGGCTACACACACACACACACACACACACACACACACACACACACACACACACACACACACACACACACACACACACACACATGCACGCATGCACACACATACACTCACCTTCCTATCTCTTTGTGGATATCGTAGTAATCCGTCAAACGCCTCATCTTCCTCAGAATGGTCCCTTCATCCTCCATTGGCTCTACTGCCTCCTTTTCTCCTATGTGAAGCACCAACACATGTTTAATGTGGTGTGTGTGTTTGCGCGTGTGTCTGAACATGCCAACACAGCGACAGATGGTGTCATGTAGTACTTTCAAAACACTTTGCGCTCATATGGAGCAGATTTAAGAAATAATGCTCCGTCAGCTTACTCCGGTATTTAAGAGTTTCACAAAATTATCAGCATTTCGTAGACTAAATCTCTGTGTTTGCCGATGACGCTTTTGTGTACTGTTGATATTTTTCATGGGCTCCAAACCTGTAGAAACTGTGAGCTCAGCCTTGCAGGAGTTGGAGCCAGCCACATTCTTTGCGGTGCAGGTGTACACACCCGAGTGTTCGGGTTGAGCGTTGAGGATGACGAGGGAATATTCAGGATCATCGTACACAAAAGTGAAGAAGCTACTCTCGGAGAGAAGGAGCTCGTCCTGCAACACAGCCAATCAAAGTCAAGCAATTTAAAAAAAACTATTCGCTGACACTCACAAATAAATGACTATTAGAAACGGCTAAATCAGTAGCACTGCCATAAGCGGTAAAGAGATAAAATTGCCAAATGACAGACATTTTTGTTTTATTTTGTGATTGTGACAACTCATGTGTCGCACCTTTTAACACAACACCCAAATCAATCAAAAAGGTAAGTTTTTTTTATGTTAATGTTTATTTATTTGGCACTTTTATCCAAAGCGACGTACAATTTTTAACTTGTGGGGCATGTTGTGATCTGTATGGGAAACCGGAGTACCCGGAGGAAACCCACGCATGCACGGGGAGAACATGCAACTCCACGCAGAAAGGCCGCAGCCGAGTTTCGAACCTGCAACCTTCTTGCTGCAAGGCAACAGTGTTAACAACTGCTCCACCATGCAGCCATACAACTCTGTACTAAAATAGTTATTTCTAATAGATGTTAAGTGTTAAGTTCCCATAGTAAGAGGAATACGTTACCTTAAACCACAGAATGTCTGGATCTGGTTTCCCTTCAACCACAACAGCCAGACGAGATGTTTCCCCAACATGAACATCCACGTCTTCCATGATGGTTTCAAACTTTGGAGCAACTGCAGAACAAGAAGTGAATATTTATACCAAAGAGCACTTCTAACAAGTTCCTTGAGATCTCACTAATGTTCTACATTGATTTAATTCAACTGAATTCAATTTTATGTAAGCAGTGCCAAGTCCCAAGAGTCATCTCAAGGAAATTCACAAAGTAAACATTCCAACTGAACCTAATTGTTATTGAATTGAGTCCAGTTCATTATGCCTCCCAGCAAATACCATCGAGTCACTGACTTGTGTCAGAGACTTAACAGCAATCCCCATACTAAGCAAGCATGTGGCGACAGTGGAGAGGAAATGTCCACTTTAACCTAAATCGGGTCAGTATGAACAGCCACCTGCTGTGACTCACTGGGGATTCGAGAAGACAGAGGAGACATTTATGACACGATCTGTGCCTGAACTGACCTGCCATGGCCAACTGAAGGGTGCAGAGGTCACTACCAAACTGGTTGCTGGCTGTGACCACGAGCTGACCTATGTCAGCACTCTTGACCCGCTGTATCCTCAGGGAGTGCTGATCATCGTCTGGCATGCTCATGTCATACATTCCTGGTCTGCTGACCAACACTGCCCCCCTCCTGAGGAAAACACAGCTGTAACAAAACGCTTGGACGTAGGTCTAATATCAATCAGTTGGTGGAAAAACGTCACGTTTTCCAGTCAATTCGTTTAATACAGTAGCTCTTCCCTGGACACTAAATTAACAATAGCTTTCCCCGTCATGAGCCAAGGTGAGTCTATGACTGCTAACTCAACAATGTGACGTGCAATTGTCAGACTTCTCTCATTTGAGCGTTTCCCCGTTTATTTTCTATTGGCGACTAATGTAGGAAATATGGATAGAAGGATACTTTCTTGTATAACCTGCATGTGAAGCTCAGGGTAATCGTTCATATTTCAAAAGTAACACTTAGAAATGGCTTCTCAGTAAACTTGGTCTTTAATGACTTTATCTCTGAAACCGTTTCTTCAACCCTAACCCTAAAACATAAATGACCACAGGACCTTAAATTGTAACGCCACATCCTCAGAAGAAAACCAACCTTTTCCACGTGACGGCTGCATGTACATGATTCAGTGTGATGGTGATGTTTGCCGGCTGGTTCTCCACCACATACACAATGTCAGGTTTTTCCAAAATAACTGGAGCTTTCCTTAAATATGGCCCTGAAACATTCAAAGATTAGAAAGATGCCATGCTAAACTCGAGATGGCATCTCTGTAGTTTCTGTACCTCTGTCCAACAGCTGGACCAGATCAGTGGGGACTGATGGTTTACTCAGTGTCTTCCCGGTTGAAGTCAAGACTCTGAAAGCGTAACGGACTCCCTTGGACAGAGAGGTGACGGTGTGATGGGTCTCCTTCAGGTTGGATGCCACCACAGACCACTGGATTGAGCCCAGGGACTGCTGTTGGACCACATAGAGCAAGGAGCTGGAATCTGTCAGCACACAAACTGTTTTAACAACTAAATCTGAGTGACAACTAAATAAAACCATTGTTCTTGTTTTCAAGTCTGAGCTGATGAGATCTCAAGGGACATAAAGACATCCTTTGAAAAAGTATGTAGGACAGGAATGCTATAAACAGAGTCAACTTTCTGTGAAAGCTTATATTTTCTTTCCAGAAATGGAGGAAATGAACCCACCTAATGAACAGTCGAGCTTCTTTGGAGGCTTCCAGCTGAGGGTTATAGTTTTCCCAGAGATGGCCTCAATCACCGGAGGACCATCGGGAGGGTCGGGAACGATATCTGTTTAGAAATAATTAGACATCAGTGAAATGTTACAACTCACATGCTGGCGAAGGTTCTCAGCCATCCAGGTCATGGCAACCCAAAGGGGTCAAATGAAGGCAACGGGACTTCTTTGGTTTCTTGAAGATGTTTCACCTCTCATCCGAGGAGGATTTGCCAAATCTAACTGGAATACGGGAGCAGTCTATTGTTGCTTAACTCGTTCACCGCCAATGATGACTAAAGTCGTCATTTACATGTTTTTTTTTACTGTGTGGGCGTCGGAAAGAGCCCCCGCACCGTGAGAACAAACATCTCAGCTCTGAAGCCGAGCTTCCTGATGTAAGAGGTGAGTCTCCTCTTTGTTTTGGTTGTTTTGTTTTGGTTGTTTTGGCGTCTACATCATCCTAGCGTGCGACATTCTTTAAAAAACAGTAAAAACGCTGAAAAATGCTGGCAGCGAAGGGCTTTACCGATCAGGAAACGGCTGGCAGTGCATGAGTTAAAGAGCTGAGACTACCTATGAACACCCCTCCTCCCAATCCCATGATGAGTTGTTTATGTCATTAGGTGTTGAAATGGTGGTTTTGATTAGATGCCGGAGGGTGTGATCTAGACTGCTTTGGAATTAGGTTCAGAGCTGCACTGTAGGTGTTGGAAAGGTGAAACCTGAGGTCTCCTCCTCTTTCCCGTTCGACACAGAGAGCTTCTTTTACATCTCTGTCAAACAGTAATGAGCAGACAGCTTGAGTTTATAAGCTTGACTCAGGTATTCCTGTCAGAATGATCAAAACTCCTTAAATAAGAAACGTAACGTCTTCAAGAAACCAAAGACGTCCAGTTGCCTTCATTTGAACCATTTGGGTTACATCTCATAAATAGGAGCTTCAAATTGTGAGTTTGACTCGTACCTGTCACGTAGAGATGAGCGTAGCAGGCGGATTTTCCAACTTTGTTAGCGATAACAGCCTTGTAGACGCCGCTGTGGCCATGACAAGTGCTCCGAATGACCAGATTATGGACATCCCTGTCTAAAGAACACACACTCAAGCATTTTATTTCCCACCCTCCCTTAAGCAAAAGGCTTTAGTTGTTTTATTTTCCTTTATTTCGTTGCTTACACTGAGTCATTTTGCGTTCCTCGCTGCTCTCGATGCGTTTCCCGTTGTGGTACCAGGAGATGGTGGGGTATGGCAGGCCTTCTACTTTACACTTCAGTACTGCCTCCTTGCCTGCAACCACTTCCACGTCTGCCAGAGGTTTGACAAAGTCTGGCATGGTCCTCCTCTCTGGCTCGCTTTCAAGCGTTTCAGGCTCCTCGGGGATGGATGGCATCTTCTCTAGCTTGGCCCTAACAGGTGAATGAAGAGTATAATTACAAAAATGGGCCTGATTTAGTGTTGGGTTCCGCTGGTTTCTGTTTGAGGGACTCCACTTACATGTGGGAAGAGATGGCGGCTCTGGCTTCTTGCACGTACAGCTCAGCGGTGCTTTCAGACTTTCCATGAACATTCTGAGCAATCGCTGTGTAAAAGCCCTCTGTGTCGCTGCTGACATGGCTGATGACAAGTGAGTGGCGCCCCCCCTCCTGAAAGATGCGGACGTTATCACTCTCCTCCACTCGTGCCTCTGACGAAACGTTTAGGTGGGAGAAAACTAAATCAATGATTCTGGCTGTTCTGGAATTTTCCATGGAAGCTTCATGAGGTTTCTTACCGTAGTGCATCCATGTGACCCGCGGAGCAGGTGAGCCGCTCACCTTACAGTCAAACCGTGCAGTGCGACCTTCAGTGACCTCCAGGACATCCAGCTTGCGGGTGAACAATGGCTCCCTGGAAGGAGTGACTCTCAGATTTGCACTTGAAGTCAACTCCTCTGCAAAAACAGATGTTATGGATTTGTTTTCTGAAGCTTTTTAAAATCATGGTTCGTCTTTGAGCAGTCATAACTTCTGTTTCACCTTTAGCTGTGCTCAGCTTACAGGTGTACATCCCACTGTCATCCTCATGGACAGAATTCAGCATGAGACGACACCTATGAAGGAAACATTATTTTAAAAGGTACATAACGGAACGCCAAAAAACAATGAAGGTAAATAAATGAAACTAGAGAAAGTGAAAAGACTACAGGACGGTTCAAACATGCCTCATACACGCCAGTATGAATCTCATAGACATCATGTCAGTTCTCTTGTTCGCTCTTCCTTCTTCCATCTCAGGAACATTGCTAAGCTGAGTCCCATTCTGTCCCGCTCTGAACTTGAGACAGTTCTCCACACCTTCATCTCCTCACGCTTAGATTACTGTAACTCTCTTTTCACGTGTCTGAGCAGAACCTCCCAGAACCGTCTACAGGTGGTTCAGAATGCCTGTGCTCGGCTTCTGACCAAGTCCTCCAAACACACCCACATCACCCCGCTTCTCCTCCAGCTTCACTGGCTGCCAGTCAACTTCAGGTTTCAATTCAAGATCCTGGTTCTGGTCTATACAGGGACAAGCACCATCTTACATTGGTGATCTTCTTAGTCCCTACACCCCCAGCAGGTCCCTGAGGTCCAGTGATCAACGCCTACTGGTTGTGCAGCACCAGGCTAAAGACCAAAGGTGACAGATCATTTGCTGTTGTGGTCCCCAGACTCTGGACCTCTCTCCCCCTGAGCCTGAGGTCAGTGGACTCAGTGGTCTCCTTCAAAAAGCAGCTGAAGACTCACTTGTTCAAGCTGACTTTAGAGCGACCTTCGGTTGGTCCTCTTCTTCATCACCAGCTTCTTTTCATGCCTCTGCTTCTATCAATTCTGTCTTTTTCACTTTCCCATGCACACCTTTTCTCTTCCTAATTTCTATTCTCGTTTTTGTCTTAATTTTTCACTTTGTTCTCTCATTTTTATGATCACTTGACATTTTTATTTTCATTGTTCTTGTGACGTGCCCCGTGATCTGTGTCTTAAGAGGCGCTTCTTCTACCAGTAAGTGTCTCCTGTGCACCAGATAGTATTTTGTACACCAGATGGTATGATCGTTCTAGATTCTTGTGAAATACTCGTCATTCTGAACTGTAAGTCACCTAGACTCAACACAAACTCACCTCTTTCCATCAAAATGCATCTTGCAGTTAAGCAGCGCTGGCTGGATGAGCTTCCCATTAGACAGCCAATCAACATCCACATCTGGAGGTCCAGTGATGTCGCACTCAAACATGGCTGACTCTCCAGCCTTCACCAACACGTTTTGTACCTCTCTGGTGATTTTTAGGTTTACGTGTTCTGCAGTTGTTGATGAGACCAAAGCCGAACGTGAACATGAAAGCATTTAAACATGAATCCATCTGACGTCGCCTTTAACCCACCTAGGACCTCCAGCCGGCACTCTGCCTGCTTGGTTCCACACTCGCTCAGGAGCTTACAAACATAAAGCCCAGAGTCAGACTTCTGGGCTGAGCTGATTCTCATCTCAAAGGAGCCATCTTCAGCCTCTCTCACAGTGAAACGACCTCCCGTTCTCACCGTAGCGGAGTCCTTCAGCCTGGACAACACAAAGAGGCTGTCACCATCACTTATAGCCGGCTGTGAGAAGCGACCTTCATTTGAATTAAAGCTTTGGGCATCTCATAAAACCATCAGGATGGAACGCTGTCTCACCACAACACCGTGGGTTTGGGCTGCCCTCTGACTTTAGCTGATAAAACCACATCCTGGCCCTCAGTTACTCCCTGGTCGAATGGCGTCACCTTTACGGAATCAACACATGGTTACCCGAAAATCTGATTAGACATTAATATAAAAACAAACACATGGAAAACAACCACGGCACATTTTTATTTTCCGCTGTTTTAGCGATCCGAGCCCAGGCATCCCGAGCCACAGCTCCTTCCGCAGGATCCAAAGGTGTAGAGAGAACATCTCTAGGGAGTGATGGATCCACCTGGGGTCTTCTAATTATGAGACATCCCTGGAAAACCTCCAGAAGTCCTGGGTTCATTCTTTTTGATGAGGAGGATTAGCAGCTCTGTTCAGAGCTCCTCCCAGATGATGGAGCCGATCACCTCATCTCGCTCATCCTACAGAGGACACGAGCTTCAGCCACTCATATCCAGGATTTTGAGCATGATCCAGATCTTTTGACATTAGAAGGGGTAGGATGTGGACACTACTATCACTGCAGATGAAGATCTGCTCCACTGGTGTATTAACAACAAACGGCAAACCAGAATGCTCCTTTTAAAGGCGAGGTTGGGTCGATCACACCGTCCTTTCCAAACATCCAAGAGTAGACGTTTACACTGTCCAGTCCCCCTGGGTGCTTTTAAATTCTTATTTATTCTTAAGAATTGGAAGAAATTAGAGTTTAGGAAAATTGTCTTTTTTTTTTGTATTTTATTCTATTTCAGGTCTGTTTCTTAGTTAAAATCCTACAAATGTTAAAGCTAGCCTTCTAAAACTGGACAAAGCTACTGAGGGAGCACCGCAGCCTCCACTTTGACAGTAGCTGATCCATGAAGCTTCTTACTAACATCTGCTTTCTCTTTTTCTGCATCTATTTCAGTATTATTGTCCTCATTATTATTATAAAATAAAATGGAGGTAAACCCTCCAAATTCCAGAACAACGAACATTAGCAAGAATAAAAAAAAGCAGCTCTAGATGGTTGTATTAATCATTCTTTCTTACCTGAAAGGATGGAGGTTCTTTAAAGTGAAGACCTGGACTCAGAGACGACGAGCCTCCGACCTCCATCGCCTCCTCCTGAGGGCTGAGATTCTCCTCATCCGACTGGACCGGACTGCTCACTTCCACAGATACAGCTGGTTTTCCATGTCGAAGGTGGATTGGCTCTGGTGGAACAGTGTCAAATGAACACAAGTAAAATCCAACCGCTTGAAATTTTCAGCAAAACTTTAAAATTTAAAAGTATAAAAAGTCTGATGGGACGAGCAACAATGCACCTCTGGTTCAAACATACAATGAAAGGCACGCAGGAATGATTTTGTCTGTGTTATTGCGTGTTTTCAAGAGCAAAATATCACACACACCACCGGTAGGATCTGAACAAACTCTCAGTGATGTGTCTGGGTAAATGTTGGAGTTCTACTAAATGTAAGATCGCCACTACAGTTTAAGAAGTAAAACATGGGTATAAATTAGGCAATTTAATGAATATTGACGTCGAATCAGAAACATTCATAATCGTAGTCCGATAGCTAGGTTTTTTTTTATTGCATCTTTGGATATAGTGTCATGGTCTGCCTCTGCCCCTTTCTTCATGTGTCTCCTGGTGTCCTCCATCCCTCTCTAGATTCCCCTTTGTGTCTCTTAGCGCCCTCATGTGTCCTTTGTCTGCGTTTCAGTTAGGTGTCTTATGTTGTAAAGTCAATTCCTCCCAGGTCCCGTGCCATCCCCTGCTCAGTGTTTGTATGTATGTGTTTGTGTGAGTCCTTCCCTCAGTTTTAGGTTAAGGCCCTGTCCACACGTAGCCGGGGATCTGCCAAAACGTAGATATTTTTCTACGTTTTGGCCTGTCATCCACACGAAAACAGAGTTTTTTCACACGAAAACGGATCTTTTTAAAAACTCCGGCCAAAGTGAAGATCTGCGTTTTCTCCGTTTTGGGTGTCTGCGTGTGGACGGACAGAACCGGAGTTTTAAGGTCCGCAACGTCACTTTCCGCGACAAAAAAAAATGCTGACATCACGTGTGCGACCTGTGTTTACACTAGCCGACAGCATGGATGCCCTCAGAGCTGCGCACGCTTTATCAATTGTCCAAGCGCTTTTTGCTTGTTTGTTTTTGCAAGCGGAATTACTGCTCCTTGCGGAAGACCACAGACGAAGGACGAGGTTAAGAACGGGGGAAGTACTGCCACCTACAGGTCTGGCATGTCCTTAACAACGTATTTATCCGGGTACGTGTGGACAGAGTTTTCTTTTAAAACGAGGTGGTGTGGATGCAAGTTTTTGGAGGGGCGGATATTCATTTAAAAAAAAACGGCTACGTGTGGACTAGGCCTTAGTTTTGGGTTTGAGGTTATCTGCCCTCCATTGGTTCTGTTTCCCCCATTTAGATAATTGGTGTCACCTGCCTTCCCTCCAGCCCTCACTCCACACACCTGTTTCCTGTTTCCTTAAATGTTCTCCCTGTGTACTTAAGCCCTGTCTTGTCTCTGTTTGGTGTCAGTCTATTGTTTGTATGTTGTCAGCATTTGTCCGTGCTCAGTGTGAGCTTATTGGTCTCCAGGTTTTTGGTTCTCTGAGCTTTGGGAGTCCTGTGCTCCTGGACTTTTTGGACTATGGCTCGCTGCCTTGGATTTATTTCTGCTCATTTATCCTGCAAATAAAATGATTTTTACTTTGAACCAACTTCTGCCTCGTGTCATCCTGGGGTACTGCATTTTGGGTCCAAACATCCCCAAATCGTGACATATAGTCACCCAGGTCACGGTAATCTAAAGGCGTTTGAATGACGGCAACTGGACTTCTTTGGTTTGGTTTCTTGAAGACGTTTCTTCAGAGTTCATTCTTATCCAAGGAACTTTCATTTCTGACTGGAATGCAGGAGAATCTACAGCCGCAGAAGCACCATCATCCCATATGTGACAAGAGTCTCAGAGAAACAAAGAAGAATTTTCTCCAAACAAACAGACAGAAATCGGTCCATCCAAACAGAAGCTTAGTGGCGTCGTTTATACAATCCAATGTAGTGAGGACTATCCAGATCTTTACATCGGGGAAACTAAGCAGTTACACAAGCGCATGGCACAACACAGGAGACCGCTTCAGGTCATGACTGCAGTCCACCTACACCTGAAGGACAAGGGTCACACCTCTGAAGATGACAAAGTACACATTCTGGACAGAGAAGATCGATGGTTTGAGAGAGGAGTAAAAGAAGCCATCTACGTCAAACGTGAAAAACATGCATTAAATAGAGGAGGAGGACTTAGATTTCTCTATTCCGACACCTATAATGCAGCTTTGAAACTTTTTCAAACCAGTTTCAGTCCAGGTCACACCCTCCTGCATCTAATCCAAACAACCATTCCAACACAGGACATAATGACATAAACAACTCATCAGGGGTTAGGGAGAAAGGGTATTCATAGGTAGTTTCAGCTCGTTAAACGACAGCTACAGCTTATAAACGACTCTCCCGTATTCATGTCAGAACTGACAAAGCTCCTCGGATGAGAAGAGAAACGTCTTCAAGAAACCAAAGAAGTCCCGTTGCCTTCGTTTGAACCCTTTGGATTATTTTTTTAAGAATGAACCAAAACGCCATAATTTCTCTACATGAAATAGCTTAAAGCATCGAAAGGTGGGCTTTTAATTTTGTATCAATAAAACATAAAGTGAAAATAACATCAAATCTTTATTTAGAAGCTTATGAAACGTTTCACTGAGTCACGTGTGCACAGGAGAGTAGAGACTTCTCTGAAGTGACTTTAGCTGCACAGATTACAGGTTCATCTCATAATCCCTGAACCAATCATTCACTTATTCCCTTGAGAGGAAAACCTGTTGTAACTCAAAGCTCAGTTTTTTGCAGTTAAATTTGATTTTCCGAGAAAAAAAAATCTAATTACGTTTCTTGTTTTTATGTTTTTTCGCATTTCGGTTAAAAAACTGGAATAAGCAGAAAACAAAGTGGCAACAGCCTGAAAAAATAAACAGAAACTAAAGATCCAAACACCAATGAAACATATGCAAGTAAACCTTTTAGCAGCTGAAGATGCTCCAAGATGTAGCTGAATTTAAAGTTTTGTTCACATTACAAAATACATTTTGTAGGTGGATATTTTAGCTGACTTAAAAAAAAGGTTGTAAGGAATCCAAACCTACCTAAGCTCACATCTCTGCACGGCGTCTCACCGGGGGAATAAATCCCACGAGTGTTTATATAAACCTCCAACTCTTACACAACCTCCCTTTTCAGATTCATCCTCGCGTCCAGATTATCTAACACCAGAACCGTCGGTGGCGTAGACCAAAAAAATGCCAAATGTCTTTCAAGTTTATTCAAATTTTGGTGATTTTTCTCAACTCTCCCTTAGAGAGATGACATAAGAAATGCTTCAGATGTGACGCCTCACACAATCCCACCACATTCAGACATCTCTCAGCCTCTGGGTGTGAAACCTCAGCTGATGAAAAACTTGATGACTGCGGCGGTAATCTCACGCGGGGTAAGGGGGACGTAAAGCAGGCCGAAATCATCCGACAGAGCAACAGGGTGGCTAAAAATACCCCTGCGAGTCAGACTTGGGTGGCCTAATAAGGCAGTGGAGGCCTGGAGATGCAGCTCGCTCACATTTGTTGGCAAAAGTTGCATTTAAACAAGAGCTGTATCAACGCTCACCTGGAGCGGCACAAGCTCTTTTAGCTTTGTTTAAATAACTAGAACCTTTTACTTCTTCAAAAGGACCCGATTTTTGTTTACTCCTGACTTTGAATGTCAAAGCTGCCTTTAAGTCTCAGGAGACCTTTTCTGTGACAGGGTGGGTTTTAAAGTCACACCAGGGGGAGGAGGACGGATCAGTGCCTTCAAGAATTAAAGGGTTGCCATGGCAACTGTTGCTTCCAGAATCCCGGGATGGGATGCTTTTGTTAGACAGAATGTCAGACGGAGGACGGCTGGCAACAGCTTTAACGAGTTGACGTGTTTCAAAGACTCACAGTTCAGAGCGCCATAATTATTATTGTTGTTATTATTATTATTTGTTTGTTTGTTTTTACTCGCTGCAGCTTAGAAAATTATACATCAACATGCTCACAGGGGTGGACTGAGACGATAGCCTCCTTCCCATTAGACGCAAATGCGGCATGTAGCGTAAGAGAGACGTTTCACCTATGAGCTCCTTTTTGACCGGGAGCGATTCTGATGCAAGACAGGAACCAAAGCGTTCCACACAGCTGATCACACGAGTTTAATCACGGGAGGATTGCAACATCATTGATCCACTCACACACACACATTCACACACTGGTAGTGATGAGCTACACTGTAGCCACAGCTGCCCTGGGGTGCACTGACAGAGGTGAGACTTTCCAAACGCAGATGCCACCGGTCCCTCCGACCCCCACAGCAGGCAAGGTGGATCAAGTGTCTTGCACATGGACACAACAACGGTCTGGTGAGAGCAGGGATCAAACCTGCAACCTTCCGATTTCTGGACAACCCGCTCTACCTCCTGAGCCACTGCTGATCCTATGTACTGCGTGTGACTTTAATTTTGACAGATAACTGGACGTTTTACACTGATTTCCTGATTTAAACCACAGCGTTTGATGTGCTATGGAAACGTAGCGCATAAAAAATACACTCAAAATGTATTGATAGCATCCCCTTCGCTTGTGGGACGCGTCAAAAACGTTACACTTTGCTGCAGATAAAAAGGAAACGGTTCACTGTGACAGAGGCTAAATGCCGCGACGTACGTTCTGCAGCCGTTTGGTGACGCTTTCACATCCGGTGCAAAGGAGGTTTCAACCTCTCTGAGGGGGTAGGAGGAAGCTGACTGTTGCTGAATAGCAGAGGTATGACCAAGTCACTGCTTTGCAAGTCACAAGTAAGTCACAAGTCTTTCCAGTCAAGTCTCGAGTCAAGTCCAAGTCAAAGACAACCAAGTAAATGTCAAGTCGAAAGTCAATGATGTAGAAGTCCAAGTCCTTAACTTTGAATTTTCAAGTCATAAACCAAGTCAACTTTCCAACTTCAATTAATTGACAATGACAATAAATAAATTCCAGAGTAAAAGCTTCTTAAAGCTTCATTTATTTGCTCAAACAAACAGAAAGTTAAACTGAAACTTATTCTAAACAAAGTGCTGCTGCCTTTAGCAGTAAATCAAACCCAGAAGCAAGAATGGTTTATGATTTTTGTCCATGTTGTGCCACTTTTGTGCTAAAATATCAAATATGCTCAAGTCATCATCAAGTCAACAGAAGCAAGTCGATTCACGTCGCAAGTCATTGGCGTTGAAGTCCGAGTCAAGTCGTAAGTCTTTATAGATTTTATCAAGTCAAGTCAGAAGTCATTAAAAAAATGACTCGAGTCTGACTCGAGTCCAAGTCATGTGACTCGAGTTCACACCTCTGCTGAATAATGATGCAGCAATTGCTGTAATGTGGATAAAATTTGCCCATAAAGCTGTTGTAATTTCCCCCACAAAAAAACAAGATTTCATTGCAACCAGTGATGAGGCCCCGCCCCCTTTGGAACTCTATACATCAGGTAGAATTCACAGTAGAATCAGGTCACTAAACATGGGACTTTACACGCCTGAACTGTTGTTAAACAAGTATAAGATGGCTGTTTCTTAAAAAGATCAGTGATAAAATGTTTTTTTTTAACTTTAAGCTAATGCTTGTTGAGTTAGAAAGTTGACCAGTTTCATATGTGCAGGGCTGCCAACTTTTGAACATATGAATGCGTGGGAGCATGGGGGGTGGGGGTGCGTACCACTTCACCCTGTTCACTGAGTGGAGGGTGGGGGGCAGGTTGATTAATCAGCGTGAGATATTGAAGGTGTGGCGTGAGAGCGTGTGAAGAGGGCCAAATGTGTGTGAGAGTTGGTGGCAGCCCTGTAATTGTCGCAACTCTGCAGCTTCCTGCTAACCAAAAACCACACTGTTATAGGTGGCACTGTTAGCTGTAACGCTAGCAGTTATCATTTTCAGTTCACGAATTGTCAATAAAAAGCACAAAACGAAGAAATAGAAGAAGCTTGCTTTTTCTGTTGGCATCATGGTGGAGCATGAACGTAAAAGTAAGAGGGTAATGTCTTTGAAGGTGAAGCAAAGAGTTAAAACAAGAGTGAACATTGAAGTGGTCTATGCTAGTTTGAGGAAGTTAAAGGAGGCTTAATCAGGGGGTGTTTCTCAATGCCTATATGTCTTGGCCCCGCCCCAGTTGCCTAGGAGATTTGTCATCATGAACCTCCAAGACGGGTTCCAATGTTCATGTTCTACCGATGCCTGTGTTCTCCGTTTGTTAGCCGTTTAGCTAGCTGAACGAGGATACACGGGAGGTGTCTTGTAGCCTAGCCTTGGTAAAAAATTACCCAGAATACACCGCGGTATTTTCAAAAGGACGGCGGATCCGAAGCCGGCAGCTACTTCGGGGGGAAATTTCTGTTTAAAAGTAAGTCAGCTAATTTAAAATATTTTTTTAGATACAAAGAAGTTATCTATGGTTGGTTAGTTGTTTGGTAGTTGCGGCTTTGGTGGATAGCAGGTAGTAACTCGCTTATATTTTTAATTTAAACATATACACGATCTAAAAAGCAAAAGTCTCATTCTATATTTATATTGAAACTTATACGTATAAAATACAACGTTGTTTCCCGTGTCATGTGACGTTACGTGACCGCCGTGGAAGCCGCGGTCACGTGATGCAAGTCTGTTTCATTTAATCGTTTTCTTTGACCAAGGAAGGACAGTGTCCTCGTAAGCAAGGCGCCTGGCCTCGCAAGACATCGCCTCACAAGGCCAGGCGCCTTGACATGGACTGATGACCTAGCATTGTTGCTACAGGACGCGTAAGTAATCATTTTTTGTCCAACAGTGTGGCTCTTTTTACCTCATGGTTTATTTTTGCATTAGCTGGCTCATGTTAGCTCGTTGTTAGCGCTAGCCACAGCAGGGTTGTTTACGACAGTTGTTATTGCACTTTCAACCGGGTGGAGGAGCAGAAAACAGCTCAGTGTTACTTTAACGTTAATTTATGTTTATCTGTCAAATAAAAATAAACATATAAAAATTCAGTTGTAAGAAGTGACATTTATTAGTGCTCCTACTCGATTTGAAAATTCCAGTACTGGTGCATCCCTAAAGGTAACTCTAATGAACCAATGTCAGCATTCACACCAACACATGTTTCTTTCAGTTTAGATTTTTACAGTAATTATTTGAATTGTCGTAACTTAAATATCCTTTCCACGTGTGTCTGAATCAGTCTCACCTGACTGAATGTAGACGGCGGCGCTGCAGGACGCGCTCCCTGCTGCGTTGACAGCTGTGACGCAGTACGATCCCGCATTGTGCCGCCTCATCTCCTTTATCACCAGGCTGTGCTGCTTGCCCTCAGACTTAACAACATAGAAGGCATCGCTCCGTAGCGCCACATTATTCTTCCTCCATGTCACTGAGGGAAAAAAGGAGAAGAAAATGCGAAAACGTGCTGCAGCGTGATGCTCTTTGAATGAGGCTCTTTGTTTTGGTCTCTGCAGCTTTGACACACAGATTTTTATAAATATTCATGCTCTCGTTGGGATTCCTGCTGGGAGAAGTCACTTTAGAAAGTCCTCTCGCTAAAATCCAATGAGGGAACATTCTTTAAAGGAACAAAACACTCAAAATTTATTTAAACAGAAAAGCCTAACAATTGGATCTGGCACCTGTAGGAGCCGGGCTGCCGGCGATGATGCATGTCAGCGTGATCTCAGAGCCACATGAGGCTGTGGTGTCCTGGAGAGGCTTCTCAAACACGGGGCCCTCCACTGGCTCCTCATCAGCCGACATGCAGGAGTCATCAGATGATCCACCTGAACAAAACAGAGTTTAGCTAAAGCTAAAATGAGAAGCTTCAATGAGCTCGAGCTGTTTTATTTTAATCTAATCAATTCTCTTTTTTAATTCAGGCTCCTATCATCTCTTACCTTCCCCTGGAGATTTGGACTGTTTCGGGACACCTTTTCTGGTTTTGCGAACTCTTTCATCCGTTCTCTTGCTCTTGTTTGCACCACGGTCCTCTGCCATGTGCTCATCCTCCACTAGGATTGTGGGAGTGTTCGCTTGCAAGGCCGCCTCTGCCCTTCTCTTTTTTAGCACAGGGCTGACTGATGGAGCAGGAGACGGGGTCCTTCGTGATGGTTTGGATTGTTCGGTTCCGGTAACTGGGGAAGCTCGTTCCTCTGGTTTGTTTTCCGTCTTGTCTGTTTCTGGGCGTGTTCCCAGATGTTCTGATGTTTTGCTGGATTCATAAACCAAAACAATTATAGCACATGTTAGATTTTTAAAGTGAAAGTAAAAAAACCACACATATTGGTGCAATCATGTACGTGGCACCTGTTGAAGCTTGTCCTTGTTGCTGTTGGTTCTCCTGGTAACTGTTTAACGGGTGCCGTTTCCACAGTAACAACGTTTTTCCCTCGCCACGAAGAGTCGTCCACCATCAGCGTCATGCTATCCTTTTCAGGCTTGCTCCTTTGATTCCCTGAACCTCTGCCTCCAACTCTCCCTTCCTCCAGAGCTCGCTCCCTCGCCTCTAACTTCTGCACCACTTGGCGAGGAATGGGCTCAACTTTCCCAGGTTTCAGACAGTCTTTCTGAGACAGCTGCTCAGTAGAAAAGGCCTTCTTCAAGCTCGACTTCCCTACAAGCTTCTTGATTCTCTGGAGCTCCTCTGCAAACTTGTTCTGGTAGTTCTGAACCCTCTGAGAGTAACTCGTCTGGTCTTCCAGGGAGGAAGCCCGTTGTTGGAATGCTGCCCTCTTTTGGGATACACCCACCTCTTTGACTCCTATCTTCCCTCCACTGTTATCCAAGTTACTGGAAACTGTTCCACCTGGGAGATCCACACTCCTCCTTCTCTCCTCAAAAGCCCGAACCTTGTCGAAGATTTTAGGTCCTGCACGAGCCATTTTGGGCGTCATGATGTTGTCACCGCCAGATGACTGGGGGTTCTTACAATCTTGTTGGTCTGAAGATTTTGCTTCATCGTGCTCTTGTTTTTGAGGACTGATCTTCTTTTTACCTACAACCAAAGGTGGCTGAGAAGAGGGGTCTCCAGAGGACAGCCTCAGAGATTCATTACCAGTTTGAGTCCTGGAGGAACGAGGATTGAGGGGAAATGGAGGTGTGAGTTTTGAAATCAAGCACAGAAGAAACGCTTCGGAGGAGACCCGTGTCCATTGGGGTGTTCTGCCTAATGATTTCATGCTCACCAAAAAATTCTAGGTGTTCTGTGTCTAATCAAGTGAGCAAAAATAAACAATAACTTAAGACAAGTTTGCTAGAAAACCAAACAATAAGCATAAAGTTGGCTTTACATTAAAATACAAAAAAAATCCCTCATGCCTAAGAGGAACCAATGAGTTTTGCAAACTAGTGGCAACGCTCATGCTAATATCAACCCGGACCAAAGCCAGCAACCCATGCACGCCACCGCAAGCCAACAGAAATATGGCGCTAATCCAAATGTGAGGGGGCTCCTCTGGAAACATGCAGACATTTAAAAAGCAGAATCACCGTTTTAAGAAGTGCTAAATCAGCAGATTATAAATATTTATAGTGTTGACGTTAATGTAAGGTTGTTAGATTGAAACCAAATCACACAGCAATCGAACGAGTCAAAGGAAAGTGTGATCAAAATTAAAATAATGACAGTTTAAAAAAAATGTGGAAAACTTGCGTGTTGGATGAAATGTGCAATGTGTGCCAGTTTTCTTTGCAGTTTGGGAATTTGTGTTGAGTCCGTTTGTTCTTTTCCAGGAAATAAAAAGCCATTTGCTATAACGGCATGGAAAATGTTCTCCCTCTGTAGAGGCTGAACATGCTCCCGTAGTAGTCGCTGCCGACAGAAACACTTTCCTCTGACCCTTGCACAGGTCGGGTCAGGTTAGCGTGAGATGCCCGCATAAGGGGTTCCACACCAAGGTGACGAACAGGGGGGGTCCTCTCGATGGGACCCCCGCCGAACGCTTGCCTGGCTGAGTCTGTAGGGTCCAAATGTGGCCCCGGAGGACGAGAACCAAGAGCGCGAAGCTCCCGCTCCACCACAGGGTCGTAGGTCCCAGGGAGGGTGGCCCTGCGATCCGAAGTGTCAGGATTGTAGTCCATCATCCTTCCTCCCTCACCTGCAGAGGGCACAAAGAAGACATGCTTGTCATTGGAGGCCTCTGTGCTACCGTGAACCTCTACCTATCCCAAAACACTCACAGGCAGCCCAGTCCTTGAACCATCTTTTTTGTAGGACTCCCTGTGTGTTTAGTTGTGTTTTTCATTTTATTATATACAACTTAAACCTCACAGTAAAGGCTCAGGGTTTCCAATCATTACAGCAAGAAAATAGTCACCCATCTCCTTTTCTTGAAGTTGGCTTAAACAAAAAAATAATTCATGGTGAAAGGTTTAAATGTGGCATGAAAGTTTTAATTGACAGAAGAAAGTGTTCTGTGTACTTCTATACATTGGGACAGCTCACTGAATCAACATATTCAGGCATTCAGAAAGATGCAGATGATTAATTTTAGTTTTAAGGAGGTTGACTGGCCTACACATAGACATCATCCTGATGGAACACCTTCAGGAGGAACCAGGGTGAGGCCTTCGTGTCCTACTCCTGACCTCACATTCTGGAAGAAGCCTCAGAAATGCCCATTCCTAAATTTTGGACAATGCCTTCCCAGGAGAGCTGAGCGGCTCACTCATCCATGCTTTTACCAGAGCACCAGAATTCCTTGATTTGGTGAGATGTCTCTGTCCTTTTTAGCAAATTAGAATATTTTCATTTGAATATCGTCTCCCCTACAAAGACACTCCTCCATCTGAGAAGTTAGCAACACTGGAAGTCTTGAACTGCTGGAGAATAACGCAGATACAAAATAACGATAGGACCTTCACCAGGAAGAGGATAAACGACTTTCTGATGGTTTTAAACCAGGATATAAAACAGAAAGGGATTTGGAGGGGTTTACTGCTAAGAGAGAGCCTCCTCGCCATCGCAAATCAGCTAATGATTGACGTTTTAGTGACGAGCAACAAAGATAGACATGCTGGAGCAGCAAAAAAAAGAAGAAAAAAAAGAGCCATCAGCATCTTGGGTCAATGAAGGAAATCCTGAACCAGCAGCAAGCTCGAGAAAAAAAACGTCTGACTGTTTTAGACCGACTCAGAGCACAAGAAAGGAATACACACCCAAATTGAACACACAGTTTTGGTTTGTGTTTTATTTGTTGATTTAGCTCCTGAATCACTACCTGAACAAACAAAACACTCCAATTATCCTTCAGTTTGATAATCTATTACAGGGAAGGGTGAGACGATCCGAACACAAAAGTTGTAGCAGTTGTGGACGAGGGTGTCAATATTTTCAATCCATACCGTCAGACATCTATTTTGCTGGTTAGGGATGGATTGTAGAGCCGTGCTCACTCGGTGAAAACGCTACTCCAATAAATTCAGTTTCAGGGATTGCTTTCTGCCTCCATTGCTAGAAGGAAAATCTCATTAGGCTTCAGAGAATAGGCAATTCAACAAGCGGGCATAAACACTGAAGCAGTCAGAGGAATAAATCTGCTGCACATTCAGGATTAAGTCAAAGACTTCAAATGCTTATTTTGATTAGCGAGCGAGCACACTAAGAAAATTAGCCAGCTGTGATATTAGTTATTGCTCTAACATAAAATAAAGAATAGTGTAATCCGGAGTCTCATTGAGTCTGAAAATCCACAGAAAGGAATCTTTGGATGCACAACTGCAACTTACTAGGTTTTCATCAACAGCCTGAAAATAATCAGTATAAATCAAAGTCATGAAGTTCTTTGCACAAAATCACACAAAGAGGTCTCAGCAGTTTTCTTGACATTTTCAGTACCTTCCAGAATGAGCCGTTTCATGGCTTTGTCACTTTAATGCAAGAAAGCAGTTGCTGGCCATGCCCACCCACCCCCTAATAGGAAGCCTAAGTCACTTCCGGACCACGGGTCCCCGGAAGAACGAAAAAAAAGAACGCAAGTCACCGGGGCTAAAAACGCTATTTTTCTAATTCCGCTTGTTTTGTGCCATGGATATCACACATGATGTCCGTAAATTTTAAAGACGCATTTTGATACCAAGAGCGTGCTTATTTTTGAATGGGTGGGGAGGAACGATATTGTAGGTTTTGTGTGAAAATAAGTCTCCACGCCCAGCAGCCAGGCTCCACCAGTAGCCTCCACGCCCAGCAGCCAGGCTCACCAGCAGCCTCCAGGCCCAGCAGCCAGGCTCCACCAACAGCCTCCAGGCCCAGCAGCCAGGCTCCACCAGCAGCCTCCACGCCCAGCAGCCAGGCTCCACCAGCAGCCTCCTGGCCCAGCAGCCAGGCTCCACCAGCAGCCTTCAGGCCCAGCAGCCAGGCTCTACCATCAGCCTTCAGGCCCAGCAGCCAGGCTCCACCATCAGCCTCCACGCCCAGCAGCCAGGCTCCACCAGTAGCCTCCACGCCCAGCAGCCAGGCTCACCAGCAGCCTCAAGGCCCAGCAGCCAGGCTCCACCAGTAGCCTCCACGCCCAGCAGCCAGGCTCCACCAGTAGCCTCCACGCCCAGCAGCCAGGCTCCACCAGTAGCCTCCACGCCCAGCAGCCAGGCTCACCAGCAGCCTCCAGGCCCAGCAGCCAGGCTCCACCAACAGCCTCCACGCCCAGCAGCCAGGCTCCACCAGTAGCCTCCACGCCCAGCAGCCAGGCTCACCAACAGCCTCCAGGCCCAGCAGCCAGGCTCCACCAGCAGCCTCCACGCCCAGCAGCCAGGCTCACCAGCAGCCTCCACGCCCAGCAGCCAGGCTCCACCAACAGCCTCCAGGCCCAGCAGCCAGGCTCCACCAGCAGCCTCCACGCCCAGCAGCCAGGCTCACCAGCAGCCTCCACGCCCAGCAGCCAGGCTCCACCAACAGCCTCCAGGCCCAGCAGCCAGGCTCCACCAGCAGCCTCCACGCCCAGCAGCCAGGCTCACCAGCAGCCTCCACGCCCAGCAGCCAGGCTCACCAACAGCCTCCAGGCCCAGCAGCCAGGCTCCACCAGCAGCCTCCACGCCCAGCAGCCAGGCTCCACCAACAGCCTCCAGGCACAGTAGCCAGGTTCCACCATCACCTCAATACCAGCCACCTGATCCAACAATCAGGCTCAGCCTGGGGCTCCAGGCTCCAGATTCACCGGCAACCAGGACTGAGAGAGAGGTAAGCCTAATACAATGGCCCCTCCCAGAAAAACAGAGAAACTCGAGGAAGATATGGAGGAAATTAAAAAAATCATTGAATTTTATGTCAGCCGAGCTGTCTAAGCTAACAGTACAACAGGATCAACTACTGTCATTAATGGATGAGGTTAAGACACTGAAATTCAAGCTTGCAGAAAAGGACAAGAAGATCATGGTATTGGAACAGAGGGTGGATGAACTGGAGCAGTATACCAGAAGGGATGACTTGGTGATAACTGGTTTGGAAACTAGACATAGGACTTATGCCAGAGTTACTGGAGATAGAAACACAACTGAGGATGCTCCACAGGAAGAACTCCAGTCACTAGAACAACAAGTGTTGAGCTTCTTGCACAGTAAGAACATTCATATCCAAAGTGATGCAATATCAATCTGTCATACCCTTCCGAGAAAGGCAGACAAATTAAAACCAGTCATCATAGTGCGATTTACCAGTAGGAAGTACAGAAATGAGTTGTTGAGGCAAGCAAAAAAACTGAAAGGTACAAATGTGTACATAAATGAACACCTGACGAAAAAGAATGAAACAATAGCCAAAGAAGCAAGGGTGCTGAGAAAACAAAAAATAAATAAAAAAAATCACAGCCACGTGGACAAGAAATGGTGTTGTATGGATCAGAGAGCAAGAAGGTCTAAATGCAAAAATGATCAAAGAGTTGAAAGATCTGGAAGTGTTGCAGGGTAAAATATGATTTATTGTGTAGCACTGACTAAATAATGGATAGTGGAAACAGTTTAACAATGGATATGGAAGTACAAATGAATTCATAAAGAATAAATGGATTCCCATGAGAAAATATATGAACTTGACAGTAAAATAGACGAAAGTTTATTTGAGTTAAATATAAATAGTAATTATTATGCAGAAGATCAGCTAAATAGTGGGTTAACTAACAATGATTCATTATCAATCATACACATAAACAGTAGAAGTTTAGTTTCCAAGATGTCAACAATAAAGGACTATTTAGGTAAATTTAAAAGTAAATTCAAAGTCATTGCCATTACCGAGACTTGGCTTTATGATGAAAGGATGACTGAAGTACAAATAGAAGGGTATGAACTTCATTTTGTAAATAGAATAAATAAAAGGGGTGGTGGTGTTGCCCTGTACATAAACAATGATTTAAAATGTAAATTAGATAAGAAAATGACTATGATGGAAGATAATGTTATGGAAATGGTAACAGTAGAAATTATCAACGACACATCAAAAAATATAATGATCAGTTGTGTATATAGAGCACCCGGTTCTTGCATCAGGTCATTTACAGATAAAATAAATGAGTTTGTGGATCATATTAAAAACAAAACATTGTTTATGTGTGGGGACTTTAACATTAACTTAGAACATCCTGTGGCTCTTAGAACATCAAGTGATTTTTTTGATATGATATATAGTTTAGGTTTGGTGCCTTTGATAAACAAACCTACCAGGATCACAACCCAAAGTGCAACAATAATTGATGATATATTCACTAATAGAAAGGAGGACGTTGTTAAAACTGGGATATTGATGACAGATATTAGTGATCCTTTACCTATTTTCGTAGTGTCTAAATATCACAATAACAATAACAATATCATAAAACATAATTTTATTAATTATAAAAGAAATAAATCAGTTAAAGCCCTGGAGGACCTAAATAAAGATCTTAAAATGCAGAACTGGACGGAAGTCTATGTCAGTGATGTGAACAATGCATATACATCCTTCATGAAAATACTGCTGAAATCGTTTAACAGTAGTTGTAAATTAATTAAAATAACAGGTAAAAGGGACAACCAACCATGGATGACTAATGGAATTAAAAATGCATGTGCCAAAAAAAATTGTCTGTATATGAGATTCTTAAAGTTACAAACAAAGGAAGCCGAAGACAGATATAAAAAATATAAAAATAAATTAGTAACAATAATTAGAAAACAGAAGAAAGAGTACTATGGTGAGCTATTGAATAAGAACAAAGACAACATCAAGACTACGTGGGGAATAATAAATAATGTGATTAACAGAGATAATACAAATGCAAGACTCCCAAACTACTTTGTAAAGGACAATAAAGACATTTATGAAGTTAAAGAAATTTCTAATGAATTCAATGATTTTTTTTATAAATGTAGGAGGGAGTCTGGTGGAAAGCAAACCAATAATTCACGATACAATGAATACAATACCTAGAAATGTCAATAGTATTCTCCTTGACAAAGTAGATCAAGAAGAAATAAGAAACATTGTAAAAAACTGGGGAAGCAAAAGATCAACTGATTGTAATGATCTGGACATGGTGACTGTAAAAGCTATAATTGAATCTGTTATTAAACCATTCACTTACATCTGTAATCTGTTACTTGTTACAGGAGTCTTCCCTGATTTAATGAAAATTGCCAAGGTGGTTCCATTATTTAAGAGCGGTGATAAACAGAGTTTCACTAATTACAGGCCAGTGTCACTGCTTCCACAGTTTTCCAAAATATTAGAAAAAGTGTTTGCATTAAGGTTGGACAAATTCATTGACGAAAATTCAATTTTAAATCATGAACAGTATGGCTTTAGGACCAAACATTCAACAGCAATGGCAGTTATGGATTTAGTAGATAAAATTTCATCAGCAATTGACAATAAAAACCATTTCATTAGTGTTTTTATTGACTTAAAAAAGGCATTTGATGTCATTGATCATTCAAGGTTACTTCTTAAATTACAACGCTATGGAATAAGAGGGGTGGCGCATCAATGGGTTAATAGTTATTTACGCAATAGAAAACAGTTTGTTCAAATAAATAATGCTAAATCTGAATTAAAAGATATTTATTATGGTGTGCCACAAGGGTCAGTCCTCGGACCTAAACTGTTCATATTGTTTATTAATGACCTGGTAAATGTGTCGAATTTACTTGGCACAGTTTTATTTGCGGATGATACTACATTGTTTTATTCAGGATTAAATATACATGAAGTAACGCAAGTGATAAACAGTGAATTGATTAAAGTTAAAAAATGGTTTGATATAAATAGACTGTCACTGAACCTGAACAAAACAAACTATATACTGTTTAATAACAGAAGAAGCTGTGATGTATCTTTAATGATAGATGGAATGGAAATTCAAAGGGTAAAAGAAACCAAATTTCTTGGAGTCATGTTCGATGAGAGTCTCACGTGGAAATCACATGTAGGTTATATAAAGGGGAAAATTGCCAAAGCCATAGGTGTATTATACAGAGTCAAGTTTCTACTAAATTTATCGGGGTTATTAACATTGTATCACTCACTGATTGAACCATATTTATTTTATTGTTTAGAAATTTGGGGAGCCACTTGCAAAACTTTTACACAACCGTTGTTCATTTTGCAAAAAAGAGCATTGAGAATCATTAATAACAGTAACTATAGAGATCACACTAATCAGTTATTCATTAGATACAAAATACTGAAATTTCCTGACTTGGTAGAGTGGAAAATATTGCAAATAATGTACAGAGCGAATACGAGTAATCTACCAACTAATATTCAGAAAATGTTTCATAAGAGAGTAAGTGGGTACATGTTAAAAGGAACTGATGTCTTTAAGAAACCTAGATTCAGAACCAAAGTTAGGGAATGTAACATTTCTGTAAATGGTGTAAGATTGTAGAATGCCATTAACAAGGAATTTAAAGAATCAACTACACTTGCTATATTAAAAAAATGTATAAAATCTAATGTATTTAGTAATTATGAAAAGGAGAATTATAATGTCAAAGATTAGACCTGAAAATATTAGAAAGTGACTGAGGTTACACTGTGTTTGTTTGGCGGATAATTTTATTTCGTAAAAAGGGGCAGAAATCATAAGATTTTTTCTTCTATCTGCTCCTTTTCATTCAAATGTTTTTTTTTTCAATATGTTAATGTATCCTGTATTTGTTTGTGTTTATTTTATACATTGTGAATGAAATAAAAGATTAAAAAAAAAAAAAAAAGTCCAGGACTACAAATGTGCTACACGAAAGTGACGTCATCGAACCAGACACGGAGAAAACTGAGGGAAAAGGGCTGTAAGTTCAACAAACTTCCCACAGGAGGAAAGAGCCACCATAAATCTGGTCATGTGGTACGGAGCAGCTACGCTAGGGGAGAGGAGATTCTGTGGTGATGTAATATGCAAAGTCCTGACTTCTAGTTTGTAGTCATGCAAATTACTAACTTTTACAAGCTAATAAATCTCAAAGTTTGTGACTGGCATGATCTCATCATTACTTTTCATTTAAATTGCAGTACAACACATGTGTGATCCAGGGCGTAAGGCAAAGCGGATTAGAAAATAGCGTTTTTAGCCTCGTTGACTTGCACTCATTTTTTCGTTCTTCCGGGGACCCGTGATCCGGCCCGTCCTGATAGGCTCATGGGTCTCCATAACAAAGAAAAAAAAGGGAAGTGAACAAAGCTAAAAAAATAAGAGCTGTTTCCTGATCTGCTTTCCCTCATGCCCTAAATCACATATATATTGTACTTCAATTTAAATGAAAAGTAATGATGAGTGAGTCGACTATGTGTTTCGCACACTTTGAGATTTATTTGCTTGTAAAAATTTGTAATTAAAAAGACTACAAATTAGAAGTCGCATATATGATGTCACTGCAGGATCTCTTCTACCGCAGCGTAGCTGCTACTTACCACATGGCCAGATTTACAGTGGGTTTAGACACATTTATTGCTTCCTGCAGAATTCGAAGATCAATAATCTTTTCATTTTTGTGTCTGGTTTGATGTCTATTTGGTGAGACGAACATTTGTAGACCTACACATCTTTTCACACAAAACCTAAAATTCACCGACATTAAATGTGAAATCCATGGCACGTATCAAATGGGATCAGAAAATAACTTTAATTTGCCCATAGACTCCCATTTTTATTTTATTTTTGGAAGTTGAGGACTCATGATCTGGAAGTAGATGGGCGTGGCCTCGGCTCCCTATAGGCTTCTAACAAGTGATGGGCTCGGAAATTCTGGAGGGGCTCGAAGTAGAGCCGCTTCTCCTTCAGTGAGGGGTAGTTCAATGCTAATTTTCCTTATTGTGACATCACAATATGGGACATTTTTAAACCACTCATGGAGACATTTTCAAGCAGCTCCAGATTTTTTTCTCATTCTGGAAGTTATTGAAAATGTCAAGAATAAATCTGCTGAGATTCTTTGTGTGAGAGGGTTTTGTGCAAAGAACTTCATAGGCACATAGAACTATTGTAAACTGTTGAAAAGACAGTATACCATGACCCCTTTAAGGACTAAACTGTGCAAACTAGATATTTGTAGGACTTGAAAATAAGAAAGGCAAACTGTGTCTCTGGAGAAGCTCATTAAAAATAAACAGCATTTGGTATTTTTAAAGAGAAATAAAACATTTGTTCATTTCTATTCTAACGTGTGAAAATCACAAAGCAGATTCTACGTTTTTCTAGTTCCCGATGGAGCCACACAGCGAACCTTGCTGAAACTAGGGCAGTGTGTCACCTTGCTGCCTCACACCCCGAGGGATTACTACACTCTCCTGTATCAGATTTCATCTAACAAACATTGTGGGCCAAGCTGAAAACAGCCTCCATTAAAACCATCAATCTACATTCTAACATAATTTTGTACAAGTGTGTTTTTGGCAGCAACACTGCTGCTGCTGCAGTAAATCCAGCTGGATGTGACTCAATAAAAATGTTTTAAGAGCAGCTAAAGTTGCTAGTGCTGCACTCTTAAACATATCTTGCAAGTGGTGTTGGCTTGTAGCTGTTATAGTTTGGATTTAAAAATGAAAAAGGCTGAAATGTCAGATGAATAATCTAAGATACAACACCTGGGACTCCTTTCCGTCCAGTTTTGTCCTGGTGCCTCCCGAGCCCCTCTTTGGTTTCCATCTGAGGTTCTGTGGTCTCATCCTCGGTGGTCTCAGAGTCTGGAATAATGTGAAGGAAAACACATCAATTTACACGTGATGGATAAAGGACAAACTTCAGGGAAGGATTTTAAATCTTCTTCGACAAAGTTTAAAGCTCTGAGAGGAATAAACGGGGCTGTGTTTGCTCATAGGGGATACATTTGTAGACTAGCTTGTGTCAAAGCAGCTCCTGACTTCAGGAATATGACCTAAGGACCTTAACGTGAGCAGAACCACAACGACACCAGCATAGACGATCAGGGGGTTCATTTAAAGACTAGCTCTCATTTTCAAAAAGACAATCTCAAAGGCCTTACGTCTTTAGTTTTAAATTCATTAGTTTATACATTTTATTTTGAACATAACAAATCTCAATCAGTGAGCTCCAACCCTAGTCCTTGAGATCACTTATCCAGCATGTTTTACTTGTTTCCCTGCTGCAACACACCTGGTTTGGGGGGATTAGCACACTTTTGCAGAGCTTGATGAGCTGCTGAACTTGTAAATGAATCACAGATTCAGGTGTGCAGGAGCAGGGAAAAAACTAAAGCATGCTGGATGGAGGATGTAGAGCAGGGTTTCTCAACGGGGGCTGTAGCGCCCCCCCAGTGGGCGTTCAGACTATATAAGGGGGCAGTGAAAGTTTTTTGCCCATGAAGGGGACGCTGAGATGCTAATGGTGGGCGCTAACGATGCAGGACATTCATAACAGACAATGGCTCAGAATAAAAAGAAGTGTTGACAGTACAATGTGGACTACCTTCAGTATGGATGTATTCCTTCACCCAGGAATCCACAACTCCCCATGTGCCTGCTTTGTGAACAAGTTTTTTCAAACGACGCAATGAAACCCTCCCGGCTTAAGGAGCACTTGTCCAAAATGCATCCAGACAAAGCTTCAAAGGAACTGAACTATTTTCAGGTAATTAAAGAGAGACACTCTAAAAGAGGTAGCATTAGCAGTATGTTTGCTCGAAGCTCGAATTTACTGGACCGAGGATATTTAGCTTCCTACAATATCTCTTTGCTAATAGCTAAAAAAAATGTATGATACTTTTTTATGACATATTTGTATTAAACAGTTTCAAACTCAAGGCTGAATTTGTTTATTATTATTTTTTAATTATGATTTTTGTATCAAAAAACTTTCCGTTTCTCTTTCATTGGTGGGCAGTAAAGGATTTCAGCATGACTTAGGGGGGTGTTTAGCTGAAAAAGGTTGAGAAACCCTGATCGAGAGGATCAGGGTTGGGGAGCACTGGTTTCAATCAATCAGACTGCCAGTTGATAAAATAAAATGTCAGAAAAAAAATCAAAATTTTCTTAGAAAATGACAATTCCTGCATTTCAACTTTAGTAAAACAGAACGAAAATATGTTTTATGTGCGATAACATAAACCCTAAACTCTACTGATGTGATGCAAAAAAATCCCACAAAACATGAAAGAACCAAAAATGTGACATGTTCTGTGCTGACAATTCATTTTAAACTTTAGAGAAGTGAAAAAAATTAGAGACCACAAAAAAGATGACAGGACAGAACTTAGTGTAGAAGAGTTTTGATTTAATAATGAAAAAAGAAAAGGATACAAATATAATGCTTGTGTAGAGAAATAAAAGCAAAGTTCCTGAAAGCATATGGATAAGACAACTTCATAATTGAGATGGATGGGTGGATGGATGGTTTATTGGATGAATGTTGGATGAATGAATGGTTTTTTGGATAAATGTTGGATGGATGGGTGGTTTATTGAATGAATGTTGGATGGATGGATGTATATATGAATGGATGGTTTATTGGATGAATGTTGGATGGATGGGTGGTTTATTGGATGAATGTTGGATGGATGGATGGATGTATATATGGATGGATGGATACATAGATGGATGGTTTATTGGATGAATGTTGGATGGATGGATGGATGGATGGATGTATATATGGATGGATGGATACATAGATGGATGGTTTATTGGATGAATATTGGATGGATGGGTGGTTTATTGGATGAATGTTGGATGGATGGGTGGTTTATTGGATGGATGGATGGATGGATGGATGGATGGATGGATATATGGATGAATGGATACATAGATGGATGGTTTATTGGATGAATGTTGGATGGATGGATGGTTTATTGGATGAATATTGGATGAATGTTGGATGGATGGGTGGTTTACTGGATGGATGGATGGATGGATATATGGATGAATGGATACATAGATGGATGGTTTATTGGATGAATGTTGGATGGATGGGTGGATGGAAGGATGGAAGGATTATTTATTGGATGAATGTTGGATGTATGTATAAATGGATGGATGTCAGTAAGCAAGCAAGCAAGCAAGGAAGGATGGATAGAAAGAAGGAAGGATGGATGGGGAGGGAGCAGAAGATGATTGAAGACAGACAGGTTTACCATAGCTTTGCTTTCGGCAGGAGCGGAAAACTTCGCTTCCATAGTGGCAGCAAGAGAGGGCAGACGGGATAGCACCGTTACTATGGAAACCAGCATCTCTCTCACCCACACGACCAATCCTCTTCGTACCCATTTAGAGTCTAACACCACCAGCCAAACTGCCGGTCGGCTGACAGAAATGTTTACTGGTTAGAGAGCCTGTGAGGGAGGAGGACGACAACCACAGAACAGGTTGCACCTCATTGCGCCGTACATCAAGTCAAATCCTCATTCCAGAAGCTAATGATAAGCTAACGCTGAAACAGGCAACGTATCGGATGAAGTTTAACAGCTTGCACTCACAGATATGATTTACTCTGCAATGTAATTACTAGCTACTTGGAGTTTGTGCAGCAGGTTTTGTACAAAATATGACCAAATATTGCACCATAAACCACTCTGAGGATTTTATGCAGAGAAGCTGTAACGATTACAAAAACACTGCTTTGTGGGGGTGGATAACAAAACCCACTTGTACAGCTCAAACAGTAACACACACAAACAAACACGCTACAGCTCTATAGAAACCGCCCTAAAGGCTCAACCAAACAGTGAAAGGATGTAGAAGCTCATACTGAGGGACAACACACCATGGGTGAGCCTTCCAAATGTCCGAGTGGAGTGCCCAGTTCTCTGAAACAAGAGGAAACAATGTATTATTCAACAGAAATCACAGTCTCTGGTTTACACAGAACACTGGAAGTGCTAAATCAAATGAAACACCTCTGCTGCCAAATGTGGGATTGGCAGAGATATCCGTCAGTCTGAACAAAGAAATATCGTCTCAGAACTTCAGCAAGGCTGGAGATAAGCTGGGCTGCATGGAATACTCATATTAGAAAGGGATATTTCAGGTATTTGGAAGTGAGTCTATTGGTGAAAGTTGAAATAAATTGTCTTTATTATTGTCTTCCTCTATTCAGAGGAAAGGTGATTGATGAGCTAAAGGCTAGTCCGAGCAAAGGGTTAGGGTTGGTATTTACGTGGAATAAATGATGGAGGTATAGAGTTACATTCATTCTTGGCAATATATTTTGCCACCTTAACCATCTGTCAGTACGGTACACTTCGTTCTCAGGGCAGCTGCTAGCTCATCAGTCCCAAATAAAGATGCACCAGTTCTGGATTTTAGGACTGATATCTGTTCTTGTGGCTCAGAGGGTTTTACTGTATGTAAAAGTGAAATAATACACTAATACTAACTGATCGGTTTTATAAACAGTTAACGAAATTCTTGAGATTCACTGGAAGAGACAAACGGCGAAGATCTGGACTCAGATCTTAAAGCTGCTATAACAAATGTGGAAAACTTTTTAAAAACACTTTTTTTCATGCTTCCCAACAACATTTTAACATATTATAGCTATAAATATATTGTGGAGATAAAACACCCCAAAGAATATTAATGAAGTGGTTCTCTCACATTTGTCTAAAAACCTCCACCAATAACACATTACGAACCAAAAGCCACAATTACGCTACCCTGGGTCCTCCACTCATCACACACTCACGTATTTAGCAACAGAACACCACTGGTGCGAGAGGTTCTCCGCTCAGTAACATCAGAGGAGGAGAAACAGCCGGCTGCTACCACATCAACTTTAGGACAAACTACCAGAGTCCCAAAAAGAAAAACACCATTTGAAGTCACGGACAACTAAAGACGTTTGGACCTAGAAAACGATGACTGGTGTTTAGCGCTATCTTGTTTTATCTGGCATCACGGGTTTCTGGTTCCGGCAGAAGCGATTCAGGGAAGATACCTGAAGGGAGGGCTAACGCTACGTGACCTTGTTTGCGTTCAAAACCCAGCTTGTTTTCAGATTTGTCATAACAGCCTTAAGTACGGTGGCCCAGAAGGCTCAACGACATACAAAAGCTACAACAGAAGTATTAATGAAATCGAAGTTTGAGAACACTAAAATAAAACCGCATAAAGTAGACGTTGTGGTTCGCCAAAACGTATGTTAACACTTAACAATACAAGAGATGTTCACTATCAGTTTTTTTATTGTTAAATGTACCAATATAGTCTAACTCTTCATTTCATCATCATCATCATCATCATCATCATCATCATCATCATCATCATCACCTTTATTTATAAAAGCACCTTACAGACATATATCATGTCACCAAGGTGCTGCACAAGACTAAACTAAAAAGATAAAAACAAAGAATATATAGAATATAATTTCTGTTAAGATGTATACCATAATACACAGGGTCCCCGCCATAAAAAAGAAAGACTTAGCTAACATCACACATCCTATCATGCATGCTTTAAACAATATCATTAACAAAAAAAAATGACGGATACTTTAGTGTGTGTTAGGCCAGTTGTGAAAAACAATCAAAAAGACTCAAACACTAGACCTTGGATCTGTCATATTTCAACGTTTAGAGTGAGAGGAGCAGCTGAAGAGCTTGATGTATATTATGTATGTAAAAGACGAGTGATTAAAAGAGCAAAATCCGAAAGCGATAATTTCCAATATTTCGTTTTTAAGCCAGTATTGGATGATAATATCTTACTTCTATAGCTAAAACCTACATTTCACC